TATAAAACAAAATAGGAATAAATGATACATATCTTTTTTAATCTCTGGAATCTACACTAGCCACTGATTGTGTTACCAACTAGAATATTATAATGGTCAATTAAAGAAAATACACATTGTAAATTAAGAAGGATGGAACGAGGAAGAAATGGATACATGACTAACTTACCTAAAATATCCATTCCTTCCTCCTAAATCCTACCTTCCCCCATTCCCTATCTATGTGTATACTTCCTGTTCCAAGTGCTTACAAAAATTACATTAACATTTTTGTAACGGCACCCAAACAACACACATTAAGCCAAACATTTTCCATTTTGACAAAGTAGATTTTAGCTAACTAAACTGAGAGTATTACAACTACTATCTCTATCTCTATCCATCTACTTTGACATGCAGCTTGTGGTAATTTAATCTGTAGAATATCATGTTACCTAACAAAAGTTGGTTAGTCACGTTCTGTTTATGAGTTTACTTAGGAAGTCGTACAGAACAATGGGTTATGAACTTAGCGCTTTATCTCTGAAGGATCTAACAGGAAAAGTCAGGAACTGGTTTAAAACTGAAAGGAATTTGACTCGAAGAAATAAAGATGGCTTGTATCTATCGGATTATGAACCTTTTGATTGAATTTACTGTATTTAATAGTCAATGACAAATATTTTTAACATCAAAAACGAGTAAACAGTTTTGAAAAAGGCACATTTGTCAAAACCTTAGAACTGTTAGCATATCTTAAAAAGTATTGAGTGATTTATAAATATATATATAACACTGTAATGGAAACAAATGTTTTGATATAAATAAAAGGGTCATTAATAGATACAAGTTCTTAATTGGAGAACATAGTGACTTACAACATCATTATACAAATGTTATATTTGTAAATTGTAAATGTAATTGTTTGTAGCTATGCAAGGGAAACCTTTCCATTAGTATTGATTTCATATTTGTTTACTTATAGTTAATCATTTGAAAATATCTGTTCCTGATCATTGGGTTTTAAATTAATGATCCTGGCTAATGAAACAGCTGATCTTAGTCAGTAACAAAGCTACACAGATCTTCAAACTCCATTCTACACTCTCCTTCGCTCACATTTGGGTTTAAATATGCACATAGGTGGTGTGCCCATCTCAATGGTTGAAAATAACTGTTATGCTAACTGTATAGTTCAAATTTTTGTAATCTCTGAAATCAGTAGATGGTCACTAAGCCTACCATCTCCATAAGTTTAAAAGACCTACCAACATTTATTAGTAAAAGAATTTTTTGTAAATGATGTTTGGATCTTAAATTTAGTTCTAAATTGAAGCTCTAACTCCTTAGGGACAAGTCTTTATGTGCTGGAATACAATCTACCACCATTGCTCACTTTTGTGAATTGAAAGATCCCTTGTTGATGAAATGGAGTTTAATTTGTTCACTACGAAAAATCAATTACTCATTCACCTATTAAGAGAGTGACATACTCCAATAATCTTAGTATAGATTGTGGTAAGATGACCTTAATGTGTAGCTCTCTTACTTGCTGTTTATATATTCAGAACAATTTATTAAAGGCCCAATAATCATTGATATTGCAACTGATCTTGAGTTAGTTAAACCTTTGACTGTTAGCATTGACTATTGGATACTGAAGTAGACTTCCGATCTATATATACCAGCTGTAGCCATTTTTTTTTAAAATAAAAAAGAACGTAGTTGTGTGAGCCAGTCACAGAATGTGCTAGTGTCTAGTCAAAGCTGTTAGTCAATGGATAAACTGTTAGATTTTCCTTCAAAGTGAAAAAAAATATTTTCATTGTTAATATGTATCATTTAAAAAACTTATGAAATGAAAAAAAAAAACTTATTTATTAATTATTTAGACAAGCCAAGTTAGGGCTACATGGACTTTTCTTACACTTTTTGTGTATTATGCTCACTCTTGCCGCATATACACTAGAGTTTACAATATGTGTTTGAATAAAAGTTTACAATACCAATAAGGTTAGTTTTGTCAAAGTGTTTCCAAATTGTCATTTGTCATTGGGCTATGAATTAATGATGCTATCTAACAAAAGGTCGAAGTTTGATAGCAACGAGACTAGAGTTCTGTTCCCTTACAAAAAGTGTAAAAACTCAGGCATAGGATATACAAGAAATAGTTTGTTTTAGTGTTTGTAACAGAAATGTTGGCAGTTGTATACATAATTTTTAACATAATCACGTTTATAGTTAGCGAAAAAAGTTTAACATTTTTGTTGACAACATTTGTTTGTTGTAAGATGCTTTGAACATATGTTGATCTGTCGAAAGCTGCGGTGTAAATGCAACATAAATCTTTAGTTGAAGATCATAATATAAAAAAAAATAAACATATCAGCTGGTTAATGTAAATTGGCTATAACATCATTGTTGGTACATAACACACAGTCAATCAACAAATAAGATAACCACTAACAAAAAATACACTCAATTTCAACGACAGAAAAAATCACAAAAATTCTACTAACAAACCAAACATTCACTTAACTACGAATACACGTAATCTCAGAATCAACATACCAAAGTTCCGACCAACGTTGACGTCAAGAGAAGAAACAGCATGGACCTCATGGCGTCCCAGGGGTCTCTAGGAAATGTTCATGTTGAGCGTTAAAGTAACCTACGCATACCTTCAAAATATCATGGGCGCCTAGATAATTTATCACTTGGATCATACAATGAATGTGTGTTATCAAAACAATATGTAACTGACACTAAGTACTCGACAACATTGCAAGGACGAACCTCCAGTGATAACAGTGTTGATAATTGCAGATGCTTATCTCATACATTGTTTCTAAAATAGCTCAAAACAGGAAGATAAGCTGTGAAGTAACAGTATTTAAAAGGTCGCAGTAGAGTCAAAGGACGAAGGTAATGTATATGTAACAAAACTCATTGTGGATTAAAAGGTTGTTGAGTTTGATACAAGTAGTTTTTCTATGTTCTAATATAATGATATAGCTGAAAAAACCTTAGTTTTGCAGGTTCAATGATAAATAATCAATTAATTAGGAGTTATTTGAGACAGTGACACACACTTTAGGTAGGTTTTTTTAAGCGAATATGAATGCAAGGTGAGTGTAGAATCAGTGACTTTTGGATTCTGAAGTAGACATCCTATCTATATAAACCAGCTGTAGCCACTTTCTTATTAAAAAGAGCTTACTTAGTTCTGTGAGCCACACAGTCTAAAATTCCTAATTTTTGTTACTGAGAACGTTGGCAAGACATAAAAGATGCTTTAGGTTAGATTTATGAGTTGTACTATCTGTTTTCCTTGGTTAATAAGCCTAAATATTCCCTAGAAATTAGTAATTTACATCAGTACAATCTGTCGGTGGCTGACTTCGTCCATTTTGACTTAAAAACTGGCGACAGCATTGGCATACGGATGGTTCCATCACTAGTCAATAGTTATTTGTGTAACTAGTGGGTGAAGTGGCACTTTGATGCACACGAGAGAAATGTTTACGCAATGTAGGCGAGTGTGGCAAGTTTCTCAAGTGCAACAAAGGCAGTTTGCACTCGTGTTACTCATTATATTTTTCCTACAGTTACTTTAAAGCAAATAAAAAGTTAGCCTTTCAAACACTGTACAACACGTTTTTAGGTTAGGTTAAATCCAAACATTGAACAAATTGGGAAAATCTGCACCAGCTGATCGTAGTAAGTAATATCTTTAAGTGTTGCCAACTTATTTTCAAGCGTACACATATTACGTGCCCAATAAAAGCACGCTGTTTTGTGTTGTTTGGTTGGAATACTGGTGTGCCAAAAAGTAAAAAGTGTGCGGCAAAGTAAGTGCAGCAATTAGCAGCTTTCTGTACTATAATCAGTGCAAGGAAGCCCAATTTGTGGGGTCACTGTAGGAAAAGGTAGAATGGAGTGAGATGATCTAGCTTTGTTAAAGATCAGCTGTTTGATTAGTCAGGATCATTTAACTTAACTACAATAAGTAAGGATGGATTTGTCAAATCTTGCTAAATTCCATGATCCATTATAGCATATCAACATAGGCTTGTATCTGAAATGTAGTAAGCAAAGGAAGGTGTGAGCTGTTGCAGCACAAGAATCAACCGTACTGACACACTTTTTGTGGCACCACAGGGTATAACGTGGCCAGGTCATCCAGGGATAAAGGACCAGCCAATAAGTGGAAGGGGGAAAAGGATCACTTTGACACCAGAACAGTTTGTCACCAGGTAATCTTGTCATTGGAGGCCCTTGTCATTGCACCAGATGAACTGAAGACATTGTTGCTATGATTTTGCAACAACAATCTATTCCTGCAATAGCGGCATAATCGTGCACGTCTCCAAAGGTGTCAGGGACATACATTAATTATCGTCACGTCTTGTAATCAGGACAAAACTGCTGTCAGTTCAAACAAATTCAGTCCCATTAAAATCTTAAACTTAATTTAAACCCTCCTGAAGGCTAGGAGCATATATTTCCTCTTTTTTGGAACCGTCCGTTCCTAATGATTAAATCTACATTACCAATTGGTACAAAAAATATATTTGTCTTGTGAAGTGGTTCGCCAGTGAAAAAGGTCAGGGAACACTAAACAAAGGTAGTATATTCTTTAATCGCTGTAGATTACTAAAATTGTTAGTTTAACCCTTTTGTTAAGATTACGGTACTTAAATCTCATTGATGTCTAAAGTTTGTTCACAAAATTTAGGTGGTTTAAAGGGAAGGTTTCCTAGGTTCCCCCCCACCTTTTTAGCTTAATGTATACATCAGTTGATCAGCTGTTGGTTGTTGTTTAATAGTTCAGATAAAGTGGAGGGGATGGAATTGCTTCCCCTCAAACCAAAAAAATTTAGTGAACGGAGTATAGTTGATATCTAAAATGACAGCAATTCAAATTCCTTTAAAAAAAACTTCTCGTAAAAGATAACGTTTCCGAGTTACTAAAACTAGTTATAGACCAGAAAGGTTTTGGAATTATTCAAACGAGTCACTTCCTTTATTTAAAATAAATAGATTTATTACTTAGAATCGATATAAACAATTAAATTATAAACAATCATTTAGCTTTAAAAGTATAGCAATAAAACATGAGCCCATGTTAACAAAATATAGCATGCTGACTAGAGTATACAAGCATTTTGGGTAAAATATACACATCAACATATTAAACAATATTAAATTTGAGCAGTAACAATAATACTTGTAATAGACATTCAAAGCTGGCCTTAAATGTTTAGCATTCAATTGTTATTGGCTCTAACCAAATATGTAGCCCACAAAACTAAACAATATGGAACAACAACTATGTCAAACTAATTTCATAAAGACATATAAAAACTCAACAGTCATAAATGCTTGGAAAGGGTCCAGAAGTCGATAATTTTAAAGTTACAAATTAAATCAACCCTCCCACAGCTGCTGTTTTTTTTTAATTGATTTTTTTACGTCAAACCTTCAAACCTATCACAATGTCTTTTCTCTTTCTTACTTCAAAACTAAATTCAAAACTAAACTGTTATGGATAAAGTAGTTTCATATATTAAGATTTTTGTGAATCAAATCAAACATTTCAAATTAATTTTTAAATAGATTTTTGTTAAAGATATGTACAAAATCTGACTTTATTGTATCCTCACCTAACTTTTTCCTACTATGCAATAACTTATTAGAAAATTCTTGTTTGACTTCACTAAATAAAGTTTTTATAGACTGCCTCTTAAATCACAGAATGTTTTTCTACTATTGATCCAAAAACCATGTTTTTTTTTAAATTAGCCAACAAGCAGACCATTTAGAACCATACAAAAGCTCATACTATAAGGATGACTAAATCAAAAGGCATATGGTTAAAATGGCAATAAATAAAATAAATACAAAGGTCTTAATGTTTAGACACGTCTAATTCCTATATTAAGGGCTGTACAGTATCAATATCGGAGGGTGTATTACTAAATCACTAAAATCAGGGGTTCAGCGACTCTGAAAATATGATGTCTAACTTATCACGTCCTAACATTCCAAACTCTTAACTAAAAGTCTCAATTACTTGAGCTAATCCAAATGGCCTAATTTCAGTCATATTTATTTTCCAATCTAAAAGAACTCAAAATTAAATTTTAATTAAACTTTCTATTCACAATTTAAATTTAACCTAACGTGATGCATGTAATTCAGGTACACTTAAAAATTAAAATTCTTAAACATACAACACGTAAATTTTGAAATTTGAAAATAGAAAACTTAATAAAACTGTTAAAACCTTTTTGGCAATATACTAACTCAATTCAAAAACTAAAACTGTGACTGAATATATAGTGATCACTTTAAAACTCTCAAACCAACCTGAAGTGTACTCAGTTACTAATGGACTAAAGGTAACGACACCTGCACAAAGGAATGTTTAGTATAAACTGATTATCTGCGTTGCCTCATGTGTTCCGCAATCTTGGGATCTTCCCTGACAATCTGCACCATCCTCAGGACTAGAATAGCCAACACCTGAAACATACAACGTATTAAAAAATCACAATGTTAAATGTAGAGGATGCCTGCAGGGAGTGGAAGAGCAACCGCCTCCTCCAGGAACTGAGTATCTGTCGGAAAACTCGACCCGTCTGGAACAACCCAATCAAGTCCATCACCATCTACGAGCGCAGATGAACCCATAGATATTTGTCTGTCAGAATCACTAGATGTGTCAAGTAAGCCTAGTTTTATTAATCCTTCTATTGTAAATAAAAATGAGGATGTTATAGTATTTAATGTAGCTCACTGGAACGTGCAAGGCCTCACAGGCATTGGTAAAGTTGATGAAATCATAAGCTTAGATGACAGTTTTGATTTAAGTGCCCTGTGTATTTGTGAACATTGGGTTGGAAGTCACAATCATTTATCAGATATGACTATCCCTGGATTTGTATTAAAAAGTGCTTATGTAAGACAATCAGAGGAGAGGGGTGGCACAGCAATATTTGTCAAATCACACTTTAAGTGTGAAGAACTAACCTTTCTCGTGGATTTATCAATCAAAAATGTCTGTGAGGTTGCTGCAGTTTTCATCAAAGATGTTAATGTTATATGTTTAGAAATTTATAGAGTACCTGATAACAAAAATTTTGAACTTTTTATAGAATGTATGTATAATGTATTTAATCTTTTAAGTGGTAGAAATAAGACTAATGCCTCAATAATTTTATGCTCTGACTACAATGTTAATACTTTGTTGGGTAGTGTCAAAAAATATGTTGTCGAGAATTTATTGTTAAGTTTCAATTTAAAAAATACAATATTTGAGGTCACCAGGCCTAGTACTCGTGGTGGTAAGGATGGCACATGTATTGATAATATATCAGTATCTGTGCTTTCTGAAAGGATCAATTTAGCCTTGGTGGTACCGATGGTTGTTTCTGACCATCATGCTTTAATTTTTGGTAGTAAATTTGAAGTCTCTGCAAGTAGTAAAACAAAACGACATGATAACAGAAATATCAAAATAACCAGACCAGTATATGATTTAAATGTGGCTTATTTTACATGCTTATTGAGTAAAGTTAATTGGTTATCTTTGTACAGATTAGATGGTATTGAGCATAAGTTTGAATTCTTTATGGAAGTATTTATGAGTACGGTTGAAGTTGCTTTTCCGCTTCAGCATAAAAAAACAGACAAGAACAGGCCTAAAAAGTTTAAATGGTATAATGCTAGTCTGCATTTACTTAAAGAAGAGTGTCTGTCTATGCACAGTAAATTTAAGAATACTGGGTGTGCAATGTACAATGTTCAGTATAACAGGCTAAAATCTGAATACAAAAAAGCAGTGAAACAAGCTAAACTAGCCTATAACTGTAGTAGGGTAAAAAATGCCAATAATAAACCTAGGGCCATCTGGTCTATTGTAAACGAGGGTCTGAACAAAAATGAGAGGCCTTCTGTTGATAAGGAATCACTAAGCTTAAATTGCACCATGTTCAATAACTGCTTTGTTGATAATGTAAAATCAATTGTTCAAAGAGTTCCAAAGGCCAATGAAAGTGTTCAACATTATTTAAATAAACTGAGTCCTTTCAACAACGTACACAAGTCTTTTACATTCAATAATGTGTCCGTTGAACAAGTGTTCAGAGCAATCTATTCTTTAAGCGATAGCTTAAGCTTGGATGTATATTTTATTAATTCTCAGATCATGAAATTAGCGGCACCATACATTGCTGAAATACTTTCATACCTGTTTAATCTTTGTATTGATGAGGGTGTTGTTCCACATTGTTTAAAATTAGTGAAAGTTATTCCTATTTTTAAAAAAGGCTCAAAAGTAAAATATGAAAGCTACCGTCCTATATCAATAATTCCAGTTTTGTCTAAAGTTTTTGAAATTTTGTTAAATAATCAAATTAAAATATTTTTTGAAAATAAATTACTGTTTTCTGATAGTCAGTGTGGCTTTAGGTCTAATAGGGGAACAAGTACAGCAATTGTCAACTTCACTAGAGATTGTTTATCGGCATTAGATGCTAGAAAAAAGGTATGTAGTAGTTTTTACGATATGTCAAAAGCATTTGACACTGTAGATCACACAGTACTTATGCAAAAGCTTGGTTTTTATGGGTTTGACACAGTCTCGTTGAATCTGATTAAGTCTTATTTGTCACAGAGGTACCAGTCTGTCTTATTTAATGGCTGTTTTTCACCATATTTGCCAGTGTCTACAGGTGTGCCTCAGGGCTCGATATTAGGTCCTACTATTTTTATAATTTATGTTAATGACCTACCTGCTGCCATTTCCAATGAATATGTGATACCTTATATGTATGCAGACGACCTGGCCATACAAATCAGCTGTAATAGTAATAGTGGTCTCTTAAATGATCAGTTACTACTCAAGTCTAATAATTTAATTGAAGACTGGGCTGCAGCCAACATTTTATGCTTAAACAAAGAGAAGACACAAAGCCTAAATTTCAGTTTTGGAAATTCCTCTGATGAAATGTCAAGTGTTAAGTTTTTAGGTATTACTTTACAGACTAATGTTAAGTGGGATGAACACATTAAATCTTTGTGCAATAAGGTAGCTAAAGCAATCTTTATGATTAGAAGACTTAAGTTAATTGTTAATATTGATGTTTTGGCTGCTGTGTATTTTGCACATATACAAAGCCACCTGTCATATGGTATAGTGTCATGGGGTTATGACAGTAATACAATAAAATTATTGCGGCTTCAGAAGAGAGCCTTAAGAATCATGTTCAATGTTAATCGTAGGACCCATTGCAAACCACTTTTTAAGAAACTTAAAGTAATGACTGTTCCCTCTTTGTTTATATTGGATTGCTTAATGTACATTAGAACTAATTTAAAACAGTTTCAAACTAATAGCTCTGTTCATAACTACTTTACTAGGCAAAACAATTATTTAAGAACTGACCAATGTAACTATCAAAGGACAATTAATTCAACTTTTGAGCTGGGTAAAAGAATGTACAATAAATTACCGAACCATGTAAAGCAGCTAGATTTAATTAGATATAAGTCTTATTTGAAGCGACTCCTCCTAGAATTAAGTGTATATAGTGTTGAAGAATTTGTTAAATATTTAGACGTTTATTTGTGTCATAGTTAGTTGTATTGTTTCTTTTTAGAAATCTAATGACGATGCACCAGTTTGATGTTACCTGCTGTAACCCATAAATGTTATGTGCAAATAAATACTTTGACTTTTGACTTTGACTTTGTTGGTAGTTGCACGTTAATATAAATTTGGTGTGAAAATAATTTTAGTTAGAAAGAGGTTGGCCCATCCACATACACATGACCACATGGTTGAGCATGAGACCAGTGGTAAACAGCGATAGGGTGAATCGGTACAGTGCAAGAGTGTACTGATACAACTTAGTGGCAGGTATCAGGCCCATAAACATCACTGTCATACAAATGCAGTAGCAAATCCACACGTGGCACATTCAGGACATGGTGATACTGGATTACTGAATGTCTCGTAATATCAATCGTTATTGCAAATACTGCTAATTTTTGAGAGGATAGGATATAGTACGCCAACAAGCCACGTACAACAGGTTCCACGTAGTTATTAGTGTTTTTGTGCTCTATTTTTTCCAGACCTTTAGACCAATACTGGTCTAATCGCCAGTTGCCAAAGCTCCCGGGCTTTTCCTGTACACCATTGTCAATGGATTATAAGTCAGACTACTAACTGACTAAACTGTTTCATTAAAAGATGGACTTTTTAAGTGTGAAACAAGTTTTACCTCTTTCCAAATGGGTGATAGAAATAAGGGTCCAGTCCCATTGATTTATTTTACGTCTTCCCGGATGAAATACACTGCTAAAGTACAGTACAGGGGTGAACTGTACTGATGAATAGTAGCGGTACCAGGATCCGAACTTCATCTCTGCCTTGGACCCAAAGTCCCTAGCGCTACCCTCAAGCCACCAACTCACCCAAACTAACATCATTCAACTAATATACATTAACAGCTTAGTAAAATTTTAATTGGCACTTTTGTTCAGGCAGTGTAAATCCATATCTAACTTGTTGCTAAAAGAATTAAGTAAACAATTATAAATAAATTTGCTCGATGGTGTGCAATGCAAACGCAAAACAACACTTCTATGTGACATTTCCAGTAGCAGGACAACGCACTGGTAACATTACATGAGTTACCTTATCAAGGGGATCCATAAACCCTCGTTGCATCCACTTAGGTATGGTGGTGCGAGCGTGAGAGAATCCCAGCTTCTGCAGAATGTAGTCTACTCCGTACGGCTCTATACTCTTGCCACCCCATGACAGCAATCTGTACCAATCGAATCAAATCAAATAATTTGAACCATACTTTAATGTTAGTTATAAGAACCATTGACAATGTCGATCACAAGTCTAAAAGACAGCAAAGAGATTTGCTGGAAACCAGTAACTGCCTGAAACAGTTAGAAGACAATTGTATCGAATCAACTGTAACTATTGCCGGTTGGATTCAGAGCGGATTCTGGGCCAAGATATAACTTTTCATCGGGTCATTTTTTTGTTTGGGTTAAATGATACTATCTAACAAAAGGTTTACCAAAGAAAGGAACAAGATTAGTGTTTGGATAGTTTCCTTAAAAAGAATCAAAAATATACAAATGATGTACCACGGTATCACACCACAGTTTTTTAATAAATGAAAATTAAAAAAAAATAGATCTTAAGACTGGCAACCAGCTAATTTAACTTGTATGTCCATTAATTCTAGTTTTTCAACTGTATTCGCCCATATTCAACAATTTAACAAAGTTTTATATGAAATTGGTTATTTTGTTGATGACACTAGATGGGAAGAAACACTCTTGGTCGTAGAAAGATGACGTGGTTGAATTAAAAAAAAATAGTCGTTGTTTTGAATGCTTTGCAACAATCTTGGTGAACAATAGCAAATTCTAACCCCAAAGATGTAGTATTGCGAAGCCCTCCAAAAACATTGATATTTTCGCTAATCCAACGACGCAGTCTTGCAAATACCAAAATTTGATTGTATGGATTTACTTCATCCTCAGACTACCTGACAGTAGGTTCCAGATGCCAGGTCTTGCAGTGGTAATCGCGCCAGTCCTTGGTGTACCCTGTGACTTCCGCGTGTTCAAAACTCTTCTGCTTCTTCTCCTCGTCGGAGGGGCCAGGTGTAGGTGTAGCGCGTCCGTCTCCGGCTGCTCCTTCGCTCGTCCCTACCTCTCGGCTCTCACTGCGTCTCGACTGTCTCTCGGCCAACTCAGGACTCTGAGCACGAGCACCAGGGTATCCCATCTGCTGTGAATATAACAGCAATTAGGTATTCTCAAAAATGGGCTTTAAGCCAGAATAGGTTTAATATTGTGTTTTTTAAGAAAAGTAGGCTTACGGCTAAGCCTTCTCAATGGGAAACATATTTATACACACATAAATAACATAATTCGTGACATAAACATAACATAAAAACACATGATATGTTAAACATAAAAATAAGAAGATTTAATTGTCTGGGAAGCAAAGTGGTTATAGTGATAGCCTTCAAATCTGAAAATCACTGTTTTCATTCTAAGTAAGATCATTATTGGATCTAGACTTAGACTATTTGCCACTGGGCTAAAAATTTATGATGCTGTCTAACAAAATAACGCCGCCGCAGAAAACCTGCAGACTAAGCCAATTTCAATCTGTCTGGTTGGAAACTAAAATATTTTCATAAACAAGACATTATTCATTCCCCATTTATATAACATTTAATTGAATTAAAACTTAGGTTTGCTGCTACGGAGAAAATAATAGAAAATTTTTTTTACAAATGTTAATAGTATACAATGAAATAAATATTTATGCAAAATTGTATCGAAATATTTCCATAAACAAGCAAACCTAGGAATTTTAAATGAACAGTGTTTTAGAATCTTCTCCGTTACCTTTATGTACAACAACACTTCAATATTTGTTTTTTTGAGCTCTACACGATGGTTGCAATGCAAATTGAGTATTCCCACATTTCAAGGGTAAACATTTGGAAAAACCAATGTTTAGAAATTTCAAAACTCCATACCTTGTTCCCATGACCTGATCTTGCCCCACCGTAAATGTCAACATTTCTATTCAAAGTACTCTTAACATTCTAGCACTAACCACTCTGTCTTTTTCTCTGATGTACGAAGTTATGAGATCATGTAGGAAGAAGAATGCTTCGGCATCAACAGTGACGAAAATGTGGTCCTCAAACTCTGTCACGAAACTGCATTCCACCATTGGTTTATCGTCTGCAACAAACATATAAATTTGAACTGTATCAATCAATGGTAAGATTAATAATATGCAGCTCAAAATGCCTTCAACCTCGCTGCAAACCTGATGTATAAGTTAATTTCTTATTGTTAGATTTCAAGAAAAACAAAATACTTTAAGCTCCCAGTTCCAACCTCTCGATTTCATTACATTCATTTCATTTCATTTAATTAATTTCATTAAAATTATGTTACTTATTTACCAAATATGTTCTGTAATAACTTACACAACATTTTTAATTTTGCTTATGAAACCTATAATTTATTTAAATAGATAAAACTACATCTTAAGGTGGACTTAACACTTGGCATTAACATTGCTAAAATACATTGGTGATTGGCAGGATTTGAACCACAGACCTTCAAGCCAAAGGTACCAGGCTCTAATCAGACCAGCCGTGAATTAAAACAATTAAACATAATTATGTCTGCCTACTAAGAGTGTAGTTCAACTTGACTAACTCTCGTTAACATGCCTTGGTGGAATTGATTATTTGACACATCCTCCTTGTAACAATTAAATAAGATATGAAATTAAATAGATTTTTTCCGGCTGGACTTTTTAATCAATACAACAAACTAAACATAAGTAGTAAATAAACTAAACATTCACAGCTTTCCAACAAATCTAAAGTAACCTATTTTTGGAAGAAATTAACAGTTGAAGACATCAACACTTTGTATTAAGTCAAGCATAACCACTTTCACTCTAAAAACATTTAAGCAAAAAAATATTTAAACATTATAAAAATATTTCCATACCGAATAACAATAAATATTACTTTCCAGTAAGCCTAGTAGGTTTTAAATTTATACCTTGTCCAGTAATTTATTCAATTACTACATGTAGAGATTACATCGACCTTAATTAAATCAACTAAATGCACACAAACAATAACATTGATTGAGTGAAGTGATAAAAAAAGTCAGGCACCGGCGAGATTCGAACTCACGATCTCCTGTTTACTAGACAGGCGCTTTAACCAACTAAGCCACGGCGCCGACATCCAGTGACTAGTGCCAAACAATATCTGGCAGATGTTGAGCTTCTTATCTTATCAATACAGATTTAACCACATTCAGTAGTCTAATGGGTTTAAACATTTGAGAGCTTTTGAAAAATGAAATGTATGTTTGCTAGTGTAACAAAAAGTATATAATGTGGTATATTTATATTATTATCAAATAATTAATTATAATTCAACAATATACGTCTACTATGTATATAAAACTGTAACAGGTTTATTTTGGGTTTAAAAATTACAAAAATGTGTTTACTACTCTGGTTATAACATAAAAAAATGACAAAGGATAATTTTTTTATGCTGCTAAATTATTACACACATTGATTATTATGATTTTTATATTAAATTATGGTTTAATTTATTTAAGAAGTTAGTTAGTGAAATAATTAGTATTTCCTGATAATATAATAACTGAAGTCAAATTTCTATCAAAATATACTAAACTGTGTATAATTTGTGAAATTTATGTTTCACATTAGCAAATTATGTATCTAATAACAATTTTTAATTATAAAAAAACCTTTTGGAGCAATTTATTTCTTAATTTCACAGAATATAACCAAACCAAGAAATATAAACTTTGTACAGTATTGACATTTTAGAAGGCAACAAGCACTTGGCATTTTCCAATTCTCTCTTCCAGTATATATACTTTACTTCTATTAATTTATTTCCACAAAATTCTTTCAAGAATAATTATTTTTTACCTTTTTTTTCCTTTTGCAAAAGAAGAGAAAAAGGAATTAATCTATTTAGAAATATGCACAGTTTCTATGCAGCTGAATATTTTCCCCCTGAGGATAATAAACAACTTAAGCCCCTCAAAAGAGCAGTTTCTGCAGTACCACAGAAAGACTTTATGTGCAAAAAGACCTACTAATAAGGGTCTCCAGGCAAGACTTATAAGTGACGTGAAAAATTCTCCATGATCACGCCAAAATCGTCAACATCTTCCTTGGTCACAATAAAATCATATTCGTCTTTCTTGGTCACGACATCATCATCATTGCCTACAATCACGGCAATTGATCACGCAAGATCTTGAAGAAATTGTCAATTTTGAACTGTGCATCTTCGCAGGCCCTTTCTGCAATCGCGAAAATTAAAGCTCGCCCTGGCTCGACCCAAACCTGAGCTTGGCGAAAATTATTCCCAGTCTAAACCCACTCCTCAGATCAACTGTTGGCCCAACCCGATCCAAAAATATCAATCCTGTAGACCCTAATGTCTTAATGACAATATGGCCTTTCTCACCGGAAGGCTCTGGCGTGAGAGCCGCCTGCCAATGCTCCGTCTTGAGGTGCAGCTGCAGTGAAGGAAGTGCAAAGATGACCTCCCTGGTGTGGTTATTGTCCTGCTTGGGTGTTCTAGAGCGGACTGTACCTCCCTCGCTCTCGGCTCTCTCACGCTCCACACTGGGGAACCTGTCTATCTCTGTAACACAACGATATAAAAATAAACATAAAGCAATCAACATGAACTACATTAAGGGTATCAACAAGATTACAAAGACTATCTCCCATTAGCTTGACATTAAAATTGAACACCCTATCAATCATTCAATCATGCAATCATTAATTTATTAACTAAACAAAAATGGATACATGCATACGAATTTTATAAAAAGAAATAATTAAAGCAATTACAGTGATTTACCGAAAGAGGTAACTTATGGGGTTTTACAGAGAAAAAAAAAATCAAGATAAATTTTTATAACTATTTAATTGTATTCTTATCTTACAGCTATTTCAAAGTGAAAAATGACTGTAACAAAATAATCAAACATTCAATCAAAATTGTTAGAACCTTTACCTTTTGGGACACTCATTTGAAAAAATAAATAATATTTAGAGCTTTTTGCCCCCTTTTGAATAATTTAAACTTAAATTTTTAAATCACTATCTGTGTTTGCTTAACCTTGTGTTTAAGCAAGAAATTACATCTCTTTCTTTCTTCTACCTAAAAAAATAACTGACAGCAATGTGCAATTGACTATTCTACACTTTAAGCTACAGTTTTGGTGAGTCAGTGACTACGGATTCATAGCAGTGATGCTGTCGGTTCAGGTCCAGCACATGCCACTAAATTTTATCAGTACAGTTCACTCTTTTATTGTACCGAATCACCCTACAACCTCCCTTGCTTTGCCAGCTACGTTACACAGGAACACTTGGTACCTATGACGTACATATGCAAGGTTAAAAGAGGCCACCAACCTCTGATATAAAACTACTTTCCTTGTAGTCATAATTTTTCAGGATATCAACCACAAGGAAAAAAACGTCTGCACATGTTTCAAGCAGCTGTGAGGCAACCGCAGAAGGCAATTACCGTCAATCTCGCTGCAGGAGAACGCGTAATGGAACCACTCCTGCAGTGTGCGGAACTGCGGTGGGAACAGCATGTTGCGGGACACTTTACACACCGTAGCCATACTGTGGTGTTCTGGAGCATGAGGCTGTTCCCCGGTCAGACCTAGGCTGAACGTCAGCGTCTGTACAATGTGTACGTCTAGTGCCTCGGTTTCTGCAACAAACAGTAAATTTAATAAGTATGTCTGAGTACTAGTTTGATTTATAGAATAAGGAGGATAGCAGCTAGCTTACCTAGAAGAAGTACAGGTAGGCCAGATAACATACAGAATATACACTGTGCACACAATAATCAACAACAAAATATTGTGTGTTCAGTGTCTCTTTTCTATCTTCTATGGCCTCACTATACTCCTTCAAGGTAAGCTGGCTACTATCATCTTTATTCTACAAGTCAAAATCCTGACCTAAGACCCTTCATAAACAACTGAGTATTAGTTTGGTACTTTAAAAAAAATCAATTTAGGAGAAAAGTAATCTCTATTTTTGTTTTAAAAATAGTTGTTTAGCCTCCGGATTACTGTATTATACTTAAAATGGTTTAAAATACCTGCATATAGTAATCCTTTGTTGCTGATTTAGGCAACTAGTTTCGGTTCTTGTTTAGAACCATCTTCAGGCCTCAAGGTGTCAAGTGATCACTTCATTCGAAGGTCGTTAACAGAGTTCAATAAATAAAACATATACAAAACACGATACACGGAACGGACACACATTACAAAAAACACGAAAAACACGAAGGGACATTGACAAACGATCGTGACCGGGTCACGATCGTGTTTTTCGTGTTTTTTGTAATGTGTGTCCGTTCCGTGTATCGTGTTTTGTATATGTTTTATTTATTGAACTCTGTTAACGACCTTCGAATGAAGTGATCACTTGACACCTTGAGGCCTGAAGATGGTTCTAAACAAGAACCGAAACTAGTTGCCTAAATCAGCAACAAAGGATTACTATATGCAGGTATTTTAAACCATTTTAAGTATCTATTTTTGTGATTTAATCTGTCAACGTTAAGGATAAAATTAGTGAAATATTTACAACAAGTATATTACTATAGTCCTAGACTCAGCAAAATGGATCGGGGAGGGTGTCGAGTTTGAGAAACTCTTGGTTATTGAGAAAAAGAGCCAAAAGTTAAAACTAAAATTTAACAAAGTACATTTTCTTTTTATTTGTAAATTTAAAAATTCTAAAATTACTACAACAACTCTAGTACTCTGATTATCATGCGGGACCCACATCCCATATCCCTGTCTTAATATCTGCAAGTAGTTCAAATGACAACGGCAACGTACGATGTAACAATTAAAGCTACAAGGTTTGTGGTTGTATTTTGCCACCTGGGCCACTCACAGAGGTATAAATAAATAACAATGGCATGAGGGTTCTGTGGTTAAAAGTTAAAACTATGTACATGTTTAGTGGAACCCAAGTTTGCAAAACTTTGGATACTGCAGACTACAGTTAGACAGCTCTAGATAACCCATCTTTATGGAGTAACCAGTAACCAACATTTTTTTTTACTTTTGAACAACAAGTTAAATTTAGCAATTTACAAACTGGATACTATCAGACCTTCATTTTATTTTGGCGAATTTCCCATATCTTAATAAGCTATTATCGTAGGTTTTTTTTTTTTAAGACCATGATCCGAGACTGATTAGTATTTGTTACTATTGTTCCTTTATTGTTTTGATGTCCCCAGAGGAGGCTAAAAACACCAACCATTCAAATTCCAATATATATATATATATCTCCATTAGCTCAATAACTCACACAAAACTACTCTGGTTGTGATGAAATTTGGAACTCTGGTAAATTTGGTACACATAAAATAACAGAACAGTCGGATTACATGAAAATTTGTACATTAAGGTCTTTTTAACACTAAAAGAAATGGTAAACACCCAATGCTGTTAACATTACTGTTCAAAAGTGATTGAAACTTTTATGATTTATTGATTTTCCCCATTAATACTCCTGCTGCTTACTCATTACAGTATAAGGGTTGTTAATGAGCTAATGGGAGAAAATATGTGTCATTTTGCTGATAAAGTTTATTTTGGTAAACTAAAAGTTCACCTGATAAAGTTTTATAAGGTACCGGTAGTTAGTCATTTGCTCAATTTAACCTCTTTTGTTATTTTTTAATCAACAAAATAAATGTGTATCACAGCAATGGGATAGATTCTTCAAGGTAGAATACTATCTATAATGTATCAATATTAGCTAGCATTATTTATTTTATTCATCACACTACTCCTCAATTACACCCATCAACTTATTCATCAACAAACATTCACAACTGCCTTTCACATAAAACCTAACTCTGAAGCGACCTCAATTTCTATCAATGAAATTTAGATAAAGCATACAACTATGTTACAACAATTTCCGCTACTCAGAAGCCGATGTGGCAAACATCAGCTGTTTACACACATTGTTGTGGGATTGCTGACCCAGTTTAGACCGGGTCAGCTGCTGAGTAACTGAGACCTACACTCAGCACTGTGACCAGCTGTTTGATTAGAAGTTCAGCAATACCCAAGGTCAGAATTTGTAGTTACTTTTAAAGAGAAAACAAATTGAATTCACTATTGATTGTTTAGCATTCACGGTTTACAATCAGAACTAAATTTTTAGTCAAATCTTATTTGGTGTACTTTGTTAAGAAAATGTAAAATTGGGCCAATATTTACTTACAAAAAATATAACATTGATTTAAATGAGGTTAATAAGTGTTTTGAAATTAGTATTACAACTCATTGAAAATTACAATAACAATGGTGAATTTATATCTGAAATTAAAATAATATTTACCTGTAAATTTTTAGTACTGCAGTTTGGGATGAATTATTAAACTACAAAATTTGTATTTACTTATTTTAAAAGGGGAGTGTTCTTAAAAGAAAAAGATACTTTTAAAAAGCAACAAAGATGCATTTCATTACAAAACTTTACACTTTTTGACGTGTCAACTGTTTAAAAGAAAAATAAATTTTTTTCATACTTTCATGATGTATTTTATAAACTATGAATATTGTTAAAAATAAAAAGAGATGGAAATTAAATATTTTTTGTAATTTTTTACTAATAGTAACACTGGTTTTCAAAAAATAAAACGTAAACTAGAATTGTAGGCCTAACCCGAGTTGTAAGAGAAAAATTCTAGAATACACACAATTAACAAAACTCAAACCATCTCACCAAAAAGCTTTTCTTTCATATTTTACCTAGGTATATACTTTTTTTTATGTCCCCCTTTATATCCTAGGATGCTTGGCTCTAACTGTTTTCCACATCACTTCAGCTAAGCTAGGCCTAGAGGGTTACGGCATCATTATTTAGAAAAAAATCCATTACTGATTGGAAGGATTTGAACCCGGGACTTGGCGGACTAATGTCTCTCGTTCTACCAGTAGACCAACTCATTCCCTGTTTTACCAAGTTTACATTCTCATAGAAGACCCAACATCAAGGTTCCAAAAAAATGAACCTACAAAGGTATAAGGTATACAAATACTTATTAAATACAAATTTTTAACCTCTAATATTTCTTTAACTTTAGCTGATGTCTTACTCTCATTGGTGTAGACTTCCTGGGCCTCAGTGGCGAACGAGATGCACGGCTCTTTGAGTGAAAACAACGCCCAGGACTTGGACCTAAAGTTTATTCCGTGGAAGCACGCCAGAGAGATGTTGTGTCCGTGCAGCTCCATGGTGCCGCCCAGCACGGTGCCAGACGGAGGCAGCGGCTGCCGCACGGTAGACAGGTGCAGACCAGCCACTTGCGCCAACACACGCTGCCAGTGCCGGTGATGTCGAGCGTCCTGCGGAGCCCACGCACTGCCTGCGCCGCTCATACTCTCTAGAACATATGGGGTTGGTAAAACATAGTGAAGATTGTAGTCACACTTACAAATTCTACACACTTAAAAGTTCAATAGAAACAAAACAGGATAATGTGGGTTAGTGTTAATGGGTGTAGTTATTTTCATAGAGCTCCAGTTAACAACATAATTTCCTTCAATCAAAAGTGATACCATGAACTGTTTTTCTATAGTAGCCTACCTCCAAAAGTTCTACTGGTAATGGTAATTCTATTACTTTTTCAGTAAATTCTAAAGAACCTCTTAACTATCCTGTGTTCATAGCCCTTGGAAAGCGCAGAAAACTATAAGTCACACATATATTAAAGCACTGCAAAACTAAACACAATAGCTCAATGATAGCATGTTCAGCTGATAAAACAGACTTTGTTCAAGACCACATCACTGTGTTTACCATTACTTTGACTAACACTACATAGATACTTAACTACCTTTAAATGCACAAGACCTTAAGAGACCTTTTAAGAGACAAGATGATCTACAGTAACAAGCATTGAGGTTAAACTAATTTACACTTGTTTCAGCCACATACCTGGCAGTCTCTCACCGTTCTTCTTGCTCCTCGAATGCAGCCGTTTGCGGAAGCTGCCGTTGTTGCCGGACGCTGAGCTGCCGAGCGCGGAGAACACTCGTTTGCTGCTCTTGAACTGTTGAGAAAAGAACTCGTCTAGTTTGTAGTACATCTTGAGCAGGTCCACAGTTGTGGATTTCGAGATCATCAGTTGCAGCTGGTCCCAACCCATGTCTCCGTGCATGAAGATCATTGCTGGCCTGCCGAAGGTATGTACGGTTGGTTAATAATACGCTTAGAGGAGTTTTTCCAGATAACTTGAGAAAAAACTTAACCTTGGTACCTTGATAGACTTAATATGACTTTTCACTTTATTACCAAACCAGATGCAGGTTATATGACATCTCTAGATAACTGAGTCGTAAAAATTAACTTAGCCAATCTAAAACACAGAGCTACTTCACTACTGACCCAAAAAACTATTCGGATTTGATCTAAACTATTTAAGTACCTGTCTAAAACATCTAATTGATTCTAATATCACTATGTTTAATTATCTGGATAAATCTTGTCACAATAATTCTATACTTAACACTTTATAAGAACTTTAACAGCATAATAGCAACTTAATTTGATTTGATTTATGGAAAATAGTTCTTTCATCACGTACAAATCATTAACACCTTCCCCGGTCACTGCAAAATCGTAAACATCTTCCCTGATCATGACTAAATGGTAAACATCTCCTGCTGCCACAAGAGACATTATTGTTGCCCCCTGTGTTCGCAGCGCCATCATGAACATTTTTCGCGATCACCCAACTCTTGTCTTCATTCTAACTCTAATGTGAACATTTGTGATGCCAATTCGAACATTTCCTGTGATCTTGCAGACATCATCATCTTCTGCTATCACGGTGCCATCATAAACACCTCTCACTATCACAGAGTCATCATTAAGTAATTTAATCCCAGCCAAAAGTTTGGGAATATATTTTCCCAAAACTCCCATTCATCCCTAACTCTAATGATTCCAATATCACTTCACATACCTGCGGGTTGGATTGAAGGCATCGATGCTGGACTTGCGACTCGTCATCTTCCACTCGTCCCGTAGTGACACTACCAGTGAACTGACTCTACACATCAACACTCCGGTACCCATGTAGTCCAGCCGCAGCTCCAGAGCAAACAGGTTCAGTCCCACAGTGTGGTCAGGCTCTGTGCCAGGGTCCTCCTTGATCAAAACTGTAACCGAGGTGAAATTCATGAAACAACCATAACCTCATATTGTCACATAGTTTAAATGTTAACTACAAAATGTTACAGTAGATTAATGGAATATCACATGTTCCGAGAAAACTCCTATCACAGAGAGAGACTTTTCAACTAACTTAGACTGTAGAAGCAGACATCCTATTCATTACAAGCTAGAGCCAGTTTCAGTGTAAAAATAACGTTATAAAAGGCACAATTTCGAGTTGTAGGATAAGGATAGCAGCTATCTTACCTTGAAGAAGTACAGGTAGGCCAAAAAAAATACATAAGAGAGATTAAACACACAATATTTTGTCCGTTTACAAATATGACTTTTTGTAAACTCTCTTCCCCCCTGCTAAACTTGACAAAGTCCCTCAGGGAACAAAATATTGTGTGTTCAGTGTATGGTCTATGGCCTACCTGTACTTCTTCAAGGTAAGCTAGCTGCTATCCTTCATATTATCTTTGACTATATATTATACTATTCAAAATTCTGGCCTAGAGCCTTTCCTTGAGAAAAATTAGTCAAAGATAGGACTGAGGTCTAACAAGCAAGTATTAAATTGCAAAAAATCGATTTAAGGGTTCGTCCAATCTTTTAACCAACCATTTTTGTACTCTTAAATTTCAAAATAGTTCATCTTCCTTCAGTGGTAACGTAAAAGTGCAAATCGAGTAACCATACCATAATTATTCAAAGAGCAGACTACATATTTTATTTAATTTAAATCTTATTATTAAAAATCACTGCCAGGACTATGTCTGTTAACACTCACTGAATGTATCTATTTTGCTGAGCTCAATGGTGCCGCCCACAATGCCACCCTTGGCCTCCAGACTTGAGCCGCCCAGACCCAGACCAATGAACATGTTCTTATGTCCTGTGCTACCGATGGACAGCCGCCCTTCTGACCTGAAGTTCTTAGTCAGCCACCTACATGTAAAAAAGGTAAAAGGTAATAATCAATGTGTCACTATCACAAACTATACGCTGAAAGAATTTACTCAATTGTTATACAACAAACCAAGTTTCAAGTTTCATAAGAATACAGTAGACTTCAAGATTACAAGACACTGAGCAGTTATATTCATGTTAGACCACATTAAAAACAACAGATATAAAAATATCTAATCAAATCTATAGTAACCTAGCGTGATTGTTAGAATTGTTAACAAGTCACATGTCACAGTGAATAGAAATATAACGATGAATACAAAATATAAATCATTTTGTGAATGCAATGTTTAAATCAGGAACAGCGACTTCTTCTATGCAGTGAAAAGGTGTAATTATTAAAAATCTATGCAACACAGCTTCTAAACTTACTAAAAGACACTTAATGGTAACTTGTTAATACTTAATAGTAGTTTACACAACGATCATCATGTAAAGATAGTCATTACAACACGGAAATTTAAGCCACAAGCTTTGGCAAGTGCCTTAAAAACTTCAACGAGTATCGTAAAGGCTAATTACGCAAGTTGCTTATACTACTACCTACGACCGTTTTTCAATAGTTTGTACAACTTCATTACCTATACTCTTTCAATTACTTTTCAGGTTAGTTAGCAAATCATTTAGTTAACACGTTCAGTGCTGACTACATCAATTGATGTAGTCATGCCACGAGCGCTCCTATTGGACTATATCAATTGATGTAGTGGCGCCGAGGCTTCGCCTAGGCCTCGCCGCCATTGGCAAGCGCCTGTTGGAATGCCTGCCGTGCTGAGCGTGTTAACCAAAGAATGTGTGAATTTATGGCAGAAGTCGGTAGATCAACCATTGTATAGGTAATTACCAGCTGATAAGTTGGCATTCGATACTCCTTTTCTTTGAACCATTGAACTCCATTGGTCAATTATTTTACCATACTACTGCTGTAAAGTGTAAAGTAATGCGGTAAAGTGAACCTTTTCTATTTAAAAAAATTGAATTCAAAAGGCTAGTTTAGAAACAGTTGTGGGTAAATATGTTTACACTGACACTGTCTAACCCATTTTGTGTTAGGTTTAGCCTACTAAAACTATTATTAGCTGCACTAATTTCTTGTATTAATACAATTTTCTAAGTTATGCTAGCTGAACTCACTTTTTTAAAAATCCTAAAAGAAGTTTGAGCTTAGACAATATGAATTCCAGATGACTACTTTACCGACATACTTTACTGCCTGACATTGCTACGACACTCACATGACATTCCCCATAACGTTGCCCATGTTCATGTGCACGTTGAGCCTCTTGAAGTTGACCGCAAACAACACCAAAGTTTCCCAGGTAGAAGTGCTGGTCTTAGTCTCTGTAGGGCTCGGACTGCCTGAACTGGACCCTCTCTTGTTGTGATCTGAACGTGGAACATCATTAGGAACAGATTTTCAAATATACAGGGTGTCCACAAGAGATAAGTACAATGTTATACCTAAGCTAACAGTAGTAGCAGAAGTGACAGTATGGGTAATGCACGACGTTGTACTAATTTTTGTGTGGACACCCTGTATTAATAAATTGTATTAAAAAAGTCAAATTACTCTCATTTGGACGTTTAAAAAATGTTTAGTAATTTTTTTTGTCCATAACACATTACATCAGAATAAACCAAGAGGATTGCGGCATTATCAATTAGATAAACTCCTATGGTGATTGGTAGGATTTGAACCCGGGATCTCAGGAACCAAAGTCCCGCACTCTACTACTAGACTAGCTCGCTCTCCCCGGTCTGGCTAGAATAGTAGTGAGAGTAAGTAAAGCACACAAGGCTGATGTAAAATTTGAACAAGCTCATTTGGCTGCGATTGGAGCTAGTTTGAGACCTTGATTTCCGGACAACCATCTTATTTCTTTTTACTGCCTAATCTAAATCAAAAAGCACTTTGAATACCAACCAGACTGGCAAAACATTTTAAGCAATCCCATATAATGTCAACTAAATACCATACTTAACTTCTGAATCACCAGGTAATAAAGAAAGTAATTAAACATTTACCAGATCTAAGGCGAGCATGTCTTGCCAGGTCTGACTCCAGGTTGAGTCGTAGTTTTTCTCTGTTGGGACCAAGCATGGGACTGCTCTCACTGATCTCACTGAAACAGCATTAATGTAATTACATTTTCGCCACAGTAAAATGGCTTTAGTAAGCAGCTTCTTTTTGTTCTATTTTTAGATCAGAAAGTCGTTAACAGAAAGGGACCAGCAAAGTCACCAGGAAAGCGGTAAAGTCACCTGGAGTATGGTACTAACAGCCGGGGTACAGTAAAGTCAGCTGGGGTAACTGTAAAGTCACCTGGGTTATAATTAGGTCAGCTGGGGTATGGTAAAGTCAGCTGGAGTACGGTAAAGTCACCTGGGGTACAGTAAAATCAGCTGGGGTACGGCAAAGTCAGCTGGAGTGCGGCAAAGTCACCTGGAGTACAGTAAAGTCAGCTGGGGTACGGTAAAGATGTTGTTTCGTGATGTTTAAGTCTGTCACCTGGGGTACGGTGAAGTCACCTGAGTACGGTAAAGTCACCTGGGGTACGGTAAAGTCACCTGGGGTACGGTAAAGTCACCTGGGGTACGGTGAAGTCACCTGAGTACGGTGAAGTCACCTGAGTACGGTAAAGTCACCTGGGGTACGGTAAAGTCAGCTGGGGTACGGTAAAGTCAGCTGGGATATGGCAAACTTACCAACTACAGTACTTTGCAATAGGCTAAAACAATGCTATGCTGTCGACAAAGCTATCTTCCACCTCAGTGCGTATAGTCTTGTCCACCGCAACAATGCTAATATTGCGTCATTGTAAATCACTTTGATTGATAAGTGCTATCGTTATTGTTTAGAGTTTTGTGATCGTTTACTAATTCATCTATGAAGATGCATTAAGATAGAGAATATTGTGAAATTCTTAATAAAATAATTAGTAAGTCTAAAGGAATTAGCTCAAATCTGCTGTCTGATAAATAAAATACCCCTGTATCAGCAAACCAGCAGACTAAGCGAATTTCCATTTGCCTGATTGGAATTTTACTTAAATTCCCTTAAAAATGTCAGATTTATTCCCTATTCAAATAGCATTAGGTTAAACACGCTATTAGGTTTGCTAAAACAAGGAAGGTAATACTACATGTGTTTTAAGTAAAATTGTAATTGTTAGGTATGAAATTTAAAAAAATGAATCAACGAAAATATATCCATAAACAAGCAAACTACAACATTTTAATTACTCTGCCCACAATATATGGGACTGACATTGTATAACTAACCATCCTTTTACCGAAAAAATTTTTGATACGTAGTTTGTCTTGAAAACCATATTTAATTTAAATCGGTAGGTAAAGCTAACTCACTCAGACAATATTCAAACCTATAATTTACAAAAATTTGTATTGCTATAATACATACATTTTACTGTACTATTTTAGTCAAATATTTTTTCTATAATGTAAACAATGACAAAACCCCAGTCCTAATGTATTGTATGTACATTAAAAAAGAACGTTTTGAGTATATAAAATGTCTAAATATAACTCACACATCAATGTCCTGATCAGGAGAGCTGTCCTCTTCGCTGTACACAGCAGTGGTGGTGAAGTCTCCCAGGAACAGTCTTCGCACGATACTGCGTCTGTACCAAGCCTTGGGGAACGCCAGGATCTCTGTCAACCTGCGCATGTCGTACTTGAAGGAGGCCGAGCCGATGTCTATGATAGCTGTAAACATTCACGTTAATCTTTTAGTTGCAAGAGGTATGACAATTTATAATTTTACTGTAGGACTTGGATGTTTTACTGTATACAAATTGGAAAGATTATTTGGTTGTAAATAAAACAGATTTTCATTCCAATAGAGTGTGTAAGATTAATTTTATGATTACGTTAGTACATTACAGTGACTACAGTAAATATTTTGATAAAGATAAAAAGCGGGTTTTTCTGGTTTTCGGAGGGACCAAAGCAGTCAGGTGGCTTAGATAATAGACTAATATTATTTAATGATTGTTATGACTATTTTAAAGTTTGATCCAGGATTTATGATCTGACTATTGTATTTTTTGAATGCCTGAAATTTCACTCCATAGGAATGAAATTGACTTTCTAAAAGACAAATATCCTGCTAAAAAAATATTGTAGGACCCAAACCTTGCCGAAAAGCTACCTTAAATATAGATAATAACATGTAAAATTGTATTACACATTTTAGTAGAACTAAATTTTTTTATCTTCATAAATTGGCTTTTGCAGCCGGTGTGTCAATCCAAAAATTTTTTTGTCGTCATTGTCAACCACATTTCAGATGAACTTAAATGCTGGATGTTTTCCCTTGCCTTGTTTTAGCATTTTCAGTGGCTGGGTGAAATAAGTCCTAGGTCGGTGTCTAGGATGCAGGTTAGGGGTAGGGGTCTGCGGGTTTCAGATCTTGATTTTGCCATGATCAGGGACCAGCAGACCTTGTCACAGTTTTGCCATGTTTGCTGAACAAGTAAACGACATTGCCGTGACCGTGGAGGAAGATGTTTTAGATTTTGCCATGACCACGGGAGATGTTAATGATTGCCTTGAGGGCAGGGGATGTTCCCGATTTTGCTGTGTCCGCAGAAGACCTCAATGATATCGCCGTGACCGCAGATGTTCTAGATTTTGCCGCAATATGCTCACGATTTCACTGCAATATTACGTAGAGTAATGTACCTATAAAACCCCTTGTACAATTAATTTTAATTTAAATCAATTCTTTCCAAAGCAACCCAATTTTAGCCTCAGGCCCAAAATATTTTACCCGACCCAACCAGGGAAATGCATTCCATTTATGTCCAACCCAATTGTTTCATAGTCTGGACTTAGTATTAGCCTAATTACCGAAGATCCAAGTTCACAGCAATAGCAAACGTTAATTAACATCATCTGACAACACCCTTGACAAATTATCAATTTTATTAGTTTCAAGCTGAACTCACTTGAGAACCTGATGATGGCCTGGCTCTGGTCTGGTCCGGGAGACTTGGAGCTCTTGTTGTCAATGTTCAGCTTGCGACTACGAGACAAATGGAACTTGACGAACTCTACGTTGACACTGAGCGAGTCTTTCCGCTCACTGTCAGCCAGGGGAGACCACTGCGCCTCTTTTAGACCTGAAAACAAAAACAATAGTATATTACTGTAAAATGTACGTATTTTTGTCAAAAAAATAAAGCCTAACTTACAAGGTTCATTTTTGCGTATGGCTCCGTAGTTCGCGTATATGCCGCAATGAGGAGGCTCGCCGCTTATTGTCTTTATCAGTGAAAAGAATGACACCATTTTAGCTTTGTAGCTGACATGTACACTTTGCTGTGTGTTTTAAAATTATTGAATCCCCCCCGCATGAGAGATAATATCAGCGATACGTTTTTTGACCACAAGAAACATATCTGATGTCAATATTCATCGCCAGATGACTGAGGGTTTGCCCCTAATGCAATTATAGAGGGTAAGTGCAGATATAGGCTAGGTAGTTAAAAATGGCCGTGAAAATGTCCATTTGGGTGACACCCCCGTGAAGTGTCCATCTTGAACCGGTAGTAACTGCAATATGACCCAACAAATATAGGCCTACAATAAGACTACCAAACACTTCATCTTGGTTGTCAGGTTTGGCTTGACGTAATCGTTTGACGAATATTCCTTGCTAGTAGCTTTAATGTTCACACATAGATACTTTTTTAACAAAAACTACGACACATAAATTTCCAAACAAAATTTGAAGATTTAGTTTTCCCCCTGTAGTTCATTAAAATTTCATATATCCAATCTGAATGCCGAGTGAATTAGTTGTTTGGCCATTAACATTAGAAGCAACACAACCAGTTGGTGCTAATATGAGAACACTGCCGTCATCGTAGATTGATTTCGTTGTATTTACAACCTCATTTAGGCCTATAACTACTGACTTTTTTTCTACAGCCATAACAATGCTTAGTTTGCAAGATAACACTAATGGAAATGAAACATTTATAAAAATACACAGAATAACTTGTTCTGTCACCATCTGTCTACGCCCGACTCACCTGACTTCTTTCCACCGTAAGGATGGAATATGTAGACGGAGAAGTCTGCCAAACAACCAGTCACGCTAAGTCCTCCAATGGCAGACTGAGCGGCCGACCCAGCCCCAAACCTGCAAACAACACAAGAATAACATGTTGATCCGCATTGCATTTGGTTGCATTGGATTTAGAAGGTGAAAGACACATTCCAAAACGGTAGTAGAGCAGTAAGACCTCTTTTATTTCATAGACAATTTATAAAAAATCCATCAAGTTCATTATAATTTAATTAGGGTATACTTATGGTACGTAAAAACCAGATTTGGCAAAAAACTACTCACCCTGAAGAGTCAGTTTCCGCTCGTTTTGAGGAAAAGACGATATCCAGCGACGGCAGTTGCAGCATACACTCTACACGGGACACGGGCAAGCAGGAGAAGCGGAAAGTCGACGGCTGCATGTGGAAATACACGATGACGTCGACGGGGAACGAGGCGTAAGCGTACTGATTACCTGCAGCATTTACCCAAGCCCCTGGCCCCGAGTCATCCCTCATGTTGAACATGTTGACTGGGCCTGGCAAACATAGATAAATTAACTTCACATTAACATCAGAGAATTTGTTTCTCAAGTTATTGTGCTAACAGATACGTATATGAATTTGAACGGATGGTGTTTTTGGCCTCTGGGGACCTAAAACGAAAATGTAAGTCAGTCCCGGGGTTACGTCTTATCCTGAGACCTACTGTAACAGCCTATTCCCCATATGGGAAATTCGCTAAAAGGCAATATATCAATACAGCTCAAAGATTTGACACAACACTCACCAGGAGATGTGAAGGGACTCTTGGTCTCTGGGATTGGTTCCAGAGTCTGCTCCAGGAACTCCAGGATGTGGGGTGAGATGATTGTCTCTTCCGGGATACTCTGGAGAGTAGTCCAGGCAAACAAACTTGCTTTTTTGGTGCCAGCCGCAGCTCTGCGGCCTCCACACTCCTCGTCCTCCACCAGAGTCTTGGACTCATAGTGAACCTGCCACAAGTGTTCAATAATCAACCCTGATTCATAATACCGGACTGGGTGGATATTTATTCGGCCAGATAAACTAACCTATGAAAAACAATAATTTACAAATCAAAATATTATGAATTCTGTTAGGTATCATCAATTATAAGGATAAAGGTAAAATTACTCATATTTTGTACCCTTTGACAACATTTGGCATGATTTGGCCATCACTTAGATACTCATTTTCCAAACCATCACCAACTGCTACACTTTCTGTATAATTTATATTCATAACATTTCTAAAATGAAAATCTAAATGCTTTCTAAGAGGAAAAAAAACAACTTGGCAATATAGGATGTATGGCTTTAGAACTTGGCTTTAGAATGTGTCGCTTTATAACTTGGCTCCTTAACAAAATTTGCAACTTTTGATCAAAATGCCTTTTTTAATATAGACAAAATATATTTTTTTTAAGTGTTACTAAGCTGACTAGTTGCACAGTTGACTGTTTCAGATACGCAAGCTATTCCCCACCTTAACATCAAGCCCAGGTATATGGAAGATGGTGAGGTCCACCAGCTGTGCCAGACTGCTCATGTTGGCTGGTGCGAGATGTCTCAGTTTGGCACTGGTGTGGTGACGACCCTCCTTCTGCGACCTCCGACTCATGTTGGGACTTCCCCTCACGTCTGCTGGGAACTCAAACATCCCTCCAGAGCAACTCCTCTCCTTCTTCATCCGGCTCATCCTGCAACAGTCCAAGGATAGCATGACTATAGGTACTACACAGATAAGTAAGGTACAGAGAAAACTTGCTTATAGAACGACCGTGCGTTTTCAGCTCCGGTATGTTGTGACGGAAATATTATTCTGACAAGCAAGGAAGAACCTGTGTGGAAAGCACTGTGCAGAAATTCCTATCGCACAGGGCACAGGGTCTTCCTCCACCATGAACGTTGTAGTACACAAGAGCGAGGGGAGCTTTGCCGTAGTGGACACACCAGCGACTAGTGCTAGACACTACTTAAGTGTAACATTGAATGTTTTTTCTGGACCCTACTACTACTATGTGGGCACTATCATACTACATAAACTGGGTAGCTGAATTGTTAACAGTGGTAACCTAGTAATCCAAATGTTTGATGTTGACAAAAGCTAATAGCTTTGAAACTGAACCCAGCTGTCCTCTATCAGTGGGATTTAAATAAATGATCCTAACTGATGAACAGCAGATCTTAGTCAGTAACAAAGCTACACAGATCATCTCACAAAATCCTACACACATCCTTCACTCATATTTGGATTAAAATTAGGGATGGTCAAGTCTCGAAATTTCGGGAAATTTTAAATCTTGTTACACGAGACGAGATTTCTTTTTGACCGAGATTTTTATCGAGACGAGAATTAAAAAAAAAAAAAAAAAAAAAATTAAAAACGCCTGCAGAAAGTCAATGCAGCAATACAGGAGCGTGTTGTAGTTGCGTTTCCTTTGCGAAGGCGTTCTTATTTAATTAATTCTATAAATGTAAATATTACTTTAATTATTTTAATAACATTACTTTAATAACATTTGAGAAGTTTTGTTAAGTGTAAGCAGTGTGAGGAATGTTTTATTACTATAAAAAGTCAAAACAAGTAACTATTTTATAAAAATTAATATTGCTTTCATTTTATGATTTATTTTATTTTGGGATAAGTTGAACTCTATCCTAACTGATATCACTATGTTTCTTAATCGTAGGCATTTTTAATAAGTTAGGCGTGATTAATAAAAAAATGTTATGCTGATGTTTTTTAATAAAAGATTGTAAATATTCTTGCCTATTTTCATTATTGTTGTATTTAAACAGTCATCTAACAATGTTACAAAATCAGGTAAAAATTTTGAACGTGCATTTCCCGTTGTGTATGAGAAGGGAAATCCCGTAAAATACACACCTAGGAGGTGTCCCCATCTCAACAATTTATAACTAGACCATGTGAGAGAAAACACTACACTTTTGAGAGAAAAAGATTGATTTAGATGTAGTATTAATCCATGAACAAATTAAATGTGATGAATGCCGCAAAGTGTCAATGAGTAGAGTATCCAATGCCAATACCGACCCTCGTGTCGCAAACTAATTTCACCGACACTTCTCCTCTGTGTGTTTATTGATTGATGTTTCAAAATCAGAATACTTTTACTCTGAAGAGCATGAGTCCTCAAAATTTTAAGACTGTTGCTGCAAAGATAATTATGAATTCTTCAAAATCATGCCATACTTTTTTGTTCTTGTATAGCCTGCTTTCAGGTAAGATTATAGTCAATGGTTCAAATGCCTAAAACTGATATAATTTAAATATATCTAAAACTGAAGAATATAATTTTTTCCGCACAGGTAATCATCATTGTAACACTCACATCTTGAGTTCGTCCTCCCTAGTCGAGTCTTTGGTGTGCAGCACACACTTGCCGCTGTTTATCAACACCTTCACGTCCAGTTCAAAGTCAATGTTGGGCTCCAGCGGCTTCTGACAGCTAGGCGCAGAGAACAACAGACTCTGCGTCGTCTGCTCCTTCTCTGGCTCTACCAGTAGCAGGGTGCTGCACAACACACGGGTGAACTCAGTGATGACGTGAAATGTATACACTTTTAAAATCTATAAAACGTTCATGAGGAACACACACTTTTGAGAAAACCCTAACCTGACAACTTTCAACCGCCGCATACTAAAATGAAAGGTCTATATGAGTCTACTGCTGTCGTCAAGACCAATTAATTAATCATAATAGCAATAGCACTATAGTTTTTTTTGCTCCGTTTTATGTTTTATATAGGTGATTAGGTGTATTTATTTTGATGTGCATCATTTGATACAAATTTTGAACTTCAGACGGAGTTAAGATAGTCTTGCTCTTGCTATAACCTATTAGTTACTGTAAGTTTGGTACTCCCGTGTTCACTTTCGGTACTTGTAATGAAATATACTATTTTTTTTTCCAAAGGTGTTGAAAGTTGTAAGTAGCCTTACCTGCCGTCTGTGGAGTCGTAACTACCCTTGTGAGCTGACAAAGACGACCTCAGTCCGTCTGACGGCCAATCATCCACGGGTAGACTCAGCTCCGAGCTCGCACTGGGGAACGAGGCTTGTCTAAATAACACATACAGATCAAACAATTTTACATCCTACATTATCATCTTAGGACTCTATAACCTAGCTTAGAACTGTATACAGATTGTTTCAGGCATTTGGGGTCCTATGATAAACAATTCGTTAGCCATTAGAAAGATTTGAGTCTGGTTAATAAATAATCAATTAATTAACCTTAGGGACTGAAGTCCTGCACTCTATTATAAGACCAGTTTGCGCCCCACATTCAGACACTGTATTCAAGATATATACGTGGGTTGAGGAAGATATTTCAGGGTGTTTAAGAATCAAAAGTACAATATTGCTAAGGCAAGATTTTTTTTTTAATTAGAATATTTAAGCAAGCGTTATTGAAAGAGTCATCGAACTTAAATTACCAAATAACTGCTGTTGCAGCAAAATCTATTCAATTAAACAAAATTTGTACCGTACCAAAAAAAATGCTAAGATTTACATTCATATACAAGTACCTGGTGATGTTGTGGGCATCGCTAAATGTTACCCTGGGAGCGCCCAGACCACGCGAGGCCCGCAGTGACGCAGACCTGGACGGCCCTGAGTGAGGCGAACTGTCAAAACTGCCTGACGTAACACTTGCCGCAGCCGTCTCATCAGGGCTATCAACACGATAACATGTCAACAATCAACTTATATAATATATTTATTTGTCCTCACGTATTTAACTTTTCTACTTTTCGGTGCTTTTGAATATTGACATTCAGTTTTAACACATAAGTACACATCTTCAAAGACCATCAAAAATCAAAGTTTTCACTACCAAGTTGTTAAGCACAACCACTCATCTTGACTCAATTTTTAAGTAAAAGCCTGTGTCACACTTGGCTACTTACTAGCAGCTACCTAGTAGCAGCTACTGAAATAGCAGCTACTTTTCCTGTCACACTTATTTTGGTAGCGTCTATTCACTAGCTGCTACTACTAGTTTAGCTCAAGAGAGGTTATGTCCCAAAGACACGGATATTTTCTATACAGGTTCAAAAAATTAATCACATCTCCCCCACCCCACTTCGGATCACTCATGATTACTTCAGAAATTATTCAAAATGAACTAGTATAAACAAATCAGGCAGACAGCACGTGGTGCAAGTAGCCGCTAGTCTGCTATCGAAGCTGTCACACTGGGCTACAGTCGCTACTTGATAGCTGCTAGTTGGTCACGTGACTCACTAGCGCAGTTTAGTAGCACGGAAAGTTGGACATGTTCAACTTTCCATGCTAGTAAAATTTCACTAGCGTGCTACTCTTAGTAGCTGCTACTGCCTATGTCACATTGGCTACTTAGTAGCTGCTATTTCGCTAGCTGCTAGTAAAGTAGCGTAGTGTGACACAGGCTTAATTTCAGCTACACTACTAAAATAAATTTAAAAATCACTAATTGTCCATTTCTAAAAAGAACAACACTATCTCTGATTGTAATGGAGATTAGCAATGTCAAGGCAGTACCTGTCAATCTCAATATGATGTTCCAATGTAGGCGACGGCACAATGAACGATCGCGACCTGAATGTTGTTTTGTTTTTGTTTGAAGATTTCACACTTTGTCTTCGAAGCTTTTGAATCATGTCCCTGAAAAAGATTAAATTGTTAGGTATCATACGTTTGGTATTTTGATATAAATGATGTAATAGTTGTCCTATGATAATATTCACAATTGTTATAAAGCACTGTGCAAGAACCAAGTTGGTAATAGATATAAAAAATGTATAGACATTGTCAATTTTTTTCAATAAACCCAAATCTTTTTGAAAAAAAATATATTTATTGAGGAAAAGTTACACAAATCATACCTCCTGAAATCCTTGAAAACCATAGCCTCCAGTTCACGTAATCGTTTCATTTCGGATTCAATGGTGCCGTGTGAAGCACCGAGGGCTCGTAAGTCGTTGATGATTTTCGCTTGTTCGTACATTTCCTTTTCAATCAGTTTGGATCGGCTCTTAGAGTCCAGCGAAGGATCCAAGGCAAACGCTGGGAGACTGTCGCATGTGAAGTGCTTACCTCTTCGCAAAAGAATGCTTTCCTGCAACATAAGACAGAATGAGAAAACATTGTTGGATAGCATTTTTATGATTTTTGCAAGGAAATTATCAAAATCATGTTACAATCCAAAGGACCTTGTTATAGGTCGGCCGCTTAGAAAACGACCTCCTCCAGCATTGGTTTAGCATTAGCGCGCAGGTCGTCTTCTAAGCGGCCGAACTATATCAATCTAATATCTAATACTGGTCTTTTATTATACCATATAGAATTATATTGTTAGCCCAAAGACACATTAAATCTGGATCCAAAAATAATGTTGCTCAGGGTTGGACCACGAACCTTTGGATCTAAATGTAAGCATAATCACTCGGCTACTCCAAATCACTTGGCAAGATAAATGTTAATAAGACCATACAAAAATGACTTACAAAGTGTAAACAAATCAGATATTAAACAAAACAATAAGTTGAACAATAAGTAAAACCAATAGTGAAAAGGGTATCTGTTAGGGTATTTGCAAAGGGGTATCCCTTTGCAAAAAACCTGTGGGGAGATCAAAAGTACATCAAGAGATAGTTGGAGGAGACTAGAAGTAATTACTGATAATAAACCAGAAGTAAAATATAAAATTGTAATGTTAATCTAGGACTGATCATCTAATAAAGCTTTTGGGTGTACGAATAGCACACAGTAATTAATTGTGAGCCATTTTAATACAAAATTAGTTGAAAAGAACCATCACTTTAAAGAGTATGTAGCTAACCCAGAGCACAAGAAAAAATGGTGGTGATAATTTCGATAAGTTTAATAAGCTAGTTTAGTGGCATATCAAAAAACATTTGAAGTGTTAGGATTGGTTTTCCTTAACAATGTTTGAGCTTCTTTAATACGAAATGCCACTGACGTAAACAATATAATAGAAATTTTAAAAGGAAAAATACATTCTGTTGAATCAAAAACCAAATAAATATCTGTCTTGTTTTCACACCTGACTGTTGTCGGCATTGTCGTTAGTGTCTGCGTCGTCGCTGTCGTAGCTCGGGTTGGCAGCATCGTCCTCCTGCACGGAGGTGAGTGTAGTCAGAGTATGGCCCAGGGCTGACAACTGCTTGCCAATGTTGACGTCAAGATGGATATCTACTCCTTCCATAGCCCACTGGACGTTCAGAAACCACTTGGCGTTCTCTGTAACGAAAACAGATTTTTTTACATGGATGTTTTTTTGGTGAGGATTGTTAAATATAAGTCAAAGAAAATATGTTAACCTGGTAAAGGTAATGATAGTGGGAAACAACCATCCTGTGAGTTAAGGATGAGTTTAGAATTCAATTGAGTGAAATGTATTTTAGTAACTTTTGTTACTGACTGAGACCAGCTGCTTCAATAGACAGGATAATTTATTAAAAGCCCAATCAACTAAAGACCAACCCCCTTTAAAACATGAAGAAAACTAGACCTGTGTAGTATAATCATAAAACAAAAAAAATTACACAGATGCACTATATCAGGGGTTTTCAAACTTCACCTACTCAAGGACCCCCATTAATTATGTATGTAATGCGGACCCCCTACAATTACCCCCAGCCCCTATTAACCACCCCCATGACCCCTTAATTTTTATTTTGAATTGATAATTTTAAAAGATGACTTATTTATAATAGGCCAAGGAATAGGTAAACAAAATAAATAACCAACAAACAAACAACCAAACAAATCAAAACTGTTATTTTCAGAAATAGGCACTTTTGGTGTGAGTGATTAAAAATAAATGTCATTAAAATTTTTTTGCGGTCCCCCAAAAAATTGCTTGCCCTAGGGGGCTGCGGACCCCACTTAGGAAAACTCTGCACTAGATGTTGGCAAGAAAATAACCAAAGCCGCTACGTTTTTCTAACAACTATGAAATGGTCTATGAAATAATAAAATACAGAAAACCTTATAGTAACAATATGTGTCTCATAACTTTGACCAACTTTGTCATAAAGTCTAGAAACATATAGTTACAGCAATGTCTGGTTTATCCAAATCAGAATTATCCGTACCTGATTTTTGGAGGGGAAAAACTAAATTAATGATTAAAATACAGAGTTAATTTCAAACGCCTTCAAAGATTCAGACGCAACCGTAACTCTTTACTGTGCCCAACAGGTATCATTATTGATGTAGGAGCTATACAGAAATAGGGTTTTCTTTTTGAATTCAAGAGTTCCGTTCATACCTGAAACTAATAAAAGTAGTTGTTTTTAACAACTAACTAATGTTTTTTTAACTTTATAATAATTTTTAAATCTATATATATATTATAGAGGTTGGCGTTATTTACGTAATGGGATCAACAATGGGATAGTTAAATGTTATTAGTTAATTCACCTATTACCCTGGGTAATAGATTACTGAGAATATACTATTATTTACATTATCTGAACTCTGGGTATTTTTAAACGATCATATAAAATAACTGTCTCATATTAACACCGAGCATCACAAAATAATATAGTAACTTGGTAATAAACTACTGATAGTGGTAAGATGGTTATTTATGTACCATCGTCTGAACTGCTAATACGTATATAACTTGACCCGGCTTAAAAGTTCTTAACAAGGAAGTAATAGGTGAAAAATAAATAATATTATGAAAGGCAAATTACGCACTTTATTTTTATAAAGTTGTATATTTTTATCGTCAAAGGTTTTTGTGAGATGTTTGAGATTGGGTGATAGTTAGATATACAATGTTGATGTCATTTATTCTACCATATGTTGTGCAAGTACGAATAAAGATGTTTCGAATTGAATTATTGGCCATTATATATAACTGTCAAAAATCATATTAAGACCTACAAAATACATCTAAAACTCATCAGAGTACGCTAAAACTACCCGTACTCACCAATATCCATCTTCTGAGCCGCTATGGTCCTGCTGCACACCTCGTATGTTCCCTCCGACACCACACACAGGTTCATTGCGGCCTCGGAGGTGTTGGGCTTCCAGTCGTCCAGGGACGTCTCAAAGTCGTCGGCGAACCGCAGACACAATCCTACGAACCTGCCCTTGCTGACCAGCGAGCCGGAGCTGCAGGCCGAGATACTGGTGGACTCCAGTGTTACCACTACAGCAGCACAAGACTCGTTCTCCATGAACAGCTGACGACCGACACCCCACGTGGGCTACAGACAAGTGTTGGATTTGATAGTGACAGTGACAAAATTATTTGGTAAGCACTAAACAATAAATTTGTTTAGTTGTTAGTATGATAGTTGTTTGGATGTAAGGAGCACAAGAGCTTAGGGTTTCAGGGTTTTTAGTGAGGATAACAGATTTATCTGAACGGAGAAGTGTGAAAACTGGTATAATAAACACAAAACTTTAGAATATTACACTGTCGCTGACAGCATTTTCAAGGAAGGTGTGTGGTTGAAAAAGAGATAGTTTTCTTTAGGCCTAATAATAAGCCAGTAAGATTATTTATAAAGTTTGGATGGTTTTATGAAGATCTTAAAATTTAAATACACTACATACACATTAGTTTATGATAATGATACTAATAATTTTTTGAATATAATGTTACTGCTACAAGCAGATAACAGGTCATGCCTAGAAGCTATTTTAGAGCAAGATGAGTTTTCGGCAATAGTTGAAATACAATATTTTCACCTGTTTATTTTGCACAAATAAGATGTTTTGTTAGTAGCCTTGTTCTCATAACTCAATCCTAACACATGTTATATTCATAAGACTAACAATATTTCTTCAGAACAAAACCAATCCTAAAATTTAGACTCCATCCATTAGACTTGGTCCATAGATAGAAAATTAAGTTCAGGCAAGATTATGTAATTGGTATAACATTATCAAGGTGAGTAAGAGAATAAAAACAAAACTAACCGGTGGCAACGGGTTGAGAGGAACACAGATTCCCATGTCTTCTACGGTGAGTTGAAGAAACAAAGTCCCCAGATGGGGAGTGCTCAGTTTCTCAAATGGCATCTTTTCAAACACCTGTAAACAAAAGGCATATTTTCAAACACCTGCAAACAGAAAATCGTCACACTACACTCATCTGACACAATCTACTAGACTACAATAATTTCTCTTTCCAAAAGCATTCTTTAGAAGTGTTACAAATATAAATAAAAGGTTATAGTGTACTGAGATTTAGATTATGAGTTCTTGGAGGCTAGTGGCCATCTTGGATTAATTTCAAACAGCTGCTGAAGAGTCATTTATCATCCCAAAAATTAGTTAGAATACCAAAGTAATTAGAAATTTTCATTGTAATCTTGTTATGGTTTTTCAAGGGAGTCCTTGTAGGCTAACGGTCATCTTGGATTTACCTGCCTTAAAAGCAATGTTAATTTCAAACAGCCGCTGAAGGGCTATTTACAATCTCAAAATATTTTTTCTAACCCCAAAATGATTGCAATTCAAATATCTAGGACACTATGTGATAAGAAATTTTCTTTGTAGTTTTGTAATCGTTAGATGAGATAGAACGGCTAGGCTCCAAGGATTCTGTAAACAAATTTAAGCCTGCACAATTCTTGTATCTTGTATTTCAAATGCAATTTTACCTCCAAAAACACCAAACACTCTCATAATCTGGACACAAATTGTCAGTGTGCACATAAAGACATCACTGTAAACTACGACTTAACCATTTGATGCAAGTTACCTGCTGGGTGGCAGTGAGCACTTCTTTGTTCAAACTAGACCTCTGTTCGGCCCAGTACTCGTAGGCGTTCTTATAGTTGAGCCACACCAGGATCGCCTTGTCCACAGCCATCGGTTGTATGTAGATCAGCGGCCGCTTGAGTGTGATCAGTACGACCTCTTTATCATCACTGCCTGGACCCACCATCTCCCCTTGGAACGCATTACGAAGGCCTGAAACCCACAGATGTTGCAACATGTTGTGTCTGTTTAATTTTTTTTTTTTTAAGATGGACACTATTGAAATTTTTTTTTAAGGGTAACATGACTTTAAAAAATGTAAAAGAGCCAAGCAGTTAACGTTAATCCTGTGTTGATATAACTGAGACGTAGAGGGAATAAACACACAGCGAGGGAAGAAAATTCAATAAAGGTTGAGTTGAGATTTGACTGATTAAATTGTAAGAAAGCTAATTTGTAATGAATTGCTACTCTTTACTTGCTAATTGATACAAACAGAATTTAAACTGGACCAATTTAAGCCTCGTGGACAACCATGGGGAGGTAATGATAGCATAAATAAAAAAATAGGGATTACATCCACAACAAAAATTTTGTTACAGTAATAAATTTTTTTTACCAATAAAACAATTTAACTACAAAACATCCAATGAAAGTAACCACACAGTAGGCCAATATTCCAACATACATACACAAGAAACTCACCGATTCTAGTCTTGAAGAAGGCAAACTGTTGAAACTCAGGTTCGGCCTCCTCAAAGAGAACATTCTTGATCAGCTGACCCAAACTCAGGTTCACATCGACCTGAGCTTTGCCGAATATCTTCAGTGCAGCGTTGGGCTGCGCTGCGCCGGACACATTCTGTACTCTGTTGGACAGTTGGAAGTCGACTGCGCCAGTCTCTAGTCGGACGGCGCAGTTGGTCGGTGTCGTAGCAGTCAGCTGAATCCTCTGTAAGTTATGAAATTGTGTATACAAAGCGATTTACGACACATAAATAACTTTGTTTAAGATGTAGTAGGCAATTTTAATCCTTGAAATCCAAGGTATGAAGTATCTGTATAGCCCCTGATTGAATTGTTTGACTAATATAGGCTGTTAACCTCATTTCAATAATTCCTCAGTGACATTAATCACAAAATGGATCACCATACTAGGTGCAAACATCACCATGTATAGACAATACAAAAATATAATTTATTTATCAGATACATTGACACCTCCAATTTAAGTAAAAAAAATTATGTTATTGTATTGCGTTACTTGAAGATGATACAGTAGTGTCAAAACACTGTGACTAATCACGTTAAACAATTCATAAGGCAAGGCTAATTAGCCTAGATTAGTCATATTTAGGGGTGTGCGATGCATTGAAAATGCATCGAAATTTCGATTCGATTCGATGCATCAAATCGTGATTCGATTCAGCATGCATCAAAATCACGATGCATCGATTTGGCCTCGATGCATCGGAAAAGACCGATGCAACGATTACGTCCCGATGCATATTTAAAACTAATTCAGGACTCCAAAATGAGTTTTAGATAGGGAAGTGTCAATTATCGCTACCACCGATACTCGGACATTGCCGATACTAGGAATATCGGTATCAAGAATCGATTGCCAAACATTGATTTCGCCCGATTCCGCCGATACCGACAGCCGACAGGGATGGATATTTTATTTTAACATTTATTTATTTGATATCTATTAGTTTTGTAATCACGCTAACAACTTTAGTAACCAACTTAGCACACTATTTAGTTCAAAACAGCTAAAGTTTATTTTCAGCTGTTCTCTCTGCAGGCAGATGATATTGCACAACACAATACAATCTACATTTCAAGATGTCAGACAGTCAGAATTCAGTCTCAGACAACCGGCGCGCGAGTGTCCTCAACACGAAATTATACTAAAAAATGTCTGTATCAATAAGTCAGATCTTTAAATGTATTATTTTTATTTTTAGAACAAAATAAATAACCTAAACTTGTCTAAATGTTCAGTTTCATCCCTGCATTACGCATCATTAGAAAAATTCGATTCAATTACAACATCGAAGTCAGAGGGTTAGGCTTGCACTTGCCTATTGCACCAAAAAGTAGATCCATATTATATCTGTACTATCTACCTAGTTTAAGAGTTTAAGTGAAGTTTTAAGTGCTACTATAACATAAGTTTTGATTGAAAAACACCATACGCATAGTCCATGTCGATTTTGTAATATTATATTGAATGGTAAATGTTGACCATCTAAGATAAATCAAAGTATGTAACAAGAGTTCTCATTGGTCGAGAGGACACGCTGCACTGTCATGTCAGCCAATCGACGTTCGTGTTTCAATGGAGCAAGTGACGATTGCTAAGATACATTGATAAATATCAAGAACCGTTATGTAGGACGTGTTTGTTTGTAAAGAGTATAAAATTAGGTTAAAGTTTAAAACGGTGTGATTTTCTTTTGTCTTACAAAGACCTAGATTTGACAATAAGGTTATAAACGAGTATTGTCGCGTCGTTGTTCCTTGTTGGTTTACTTTTTCAGATTCCCTATCAAACGCCCCTATCTGCTATCTCTCTCTCCCCCCCCCCCCTCTCTCTCTAACGATGTACTGATTAAACAGATTGTGGTTGACGACTTTTCTACTTAAGATTCCCTGTGGTTATTTTAGTTCAATCAATCCCATAACCTTTCTATCGTTTATCAAAATAATTAATTAATCTGTTTTGTATTTTATTTCCTTTAAACCAACCCCTATTTACCATCTGTATTTTATAGAATAAAATGTTTGTTTATAAATTTTGACTGGCCACACAATTTTGTACCTATTTTATTTTGTATAAAGTAACAGATACTTTGATGATTATATATACAGTATATATATATCAATAAGTGCTGTGTGCTGTAATGAATGCTTTTTATTATCAAAATAAGTAATCAATTATAAATTTTTGATTATACATGGGTCATTGAATAGGTACCATAATGTCATGTAGTTTCCTATTTGTAACTTGCAAATAATAATAATTGATAGTTAATTCTGGAAAATGAAAAATAGTGAACGCATTCATAAACCTGTTGTCAAAACAGCAACGCAGGTGAAGGCCCCCTTCACACTGGGCCACCATGGTGGTGACACCAGTGGCGACACCATGGTGGCTACGTTACATTAGCATTGATTTAAATGGGACATCTTCACACTGAGCTTTGGTGGCGCGTCTGGCCGCGCGACCAGAAATGCGGTGGCTCGGGGTTGCGATTTTCAGAGACACCAGTCTGGTGGCGCCACCACGTCGTACCATGGTTTCTTATCGGACTATTCACATTGGAGCGACTGGCAGCGCCACCAGTCACTACCAGCGAGCATTACTCAGTATACTAGTTTACTAATCTTTTGAAGTTGTTAAGGTAATAAATATGGGGAAACGATTTTATTGATATAACAAAATGTATAGGTACTCTATTTCATTTACATCTTTTCGTCATTGCAATGTATACATTGAGTCAAGGTATTACAGTGTTATTAATACATGGTATATTAAATATGTTTTTATTTAATTTTCCACAACGTTAGTAGCAGTTTCTCTTCTGGAGATATTTTATTTTTCAGACGCCCCAGAAGCTCATCAAAACTTAAAACACTCATTCTTGAGTAAGTAGTAATTGTGAAACGTGTCAGGGTTATTTCTAAGGTCTTGGTAGTGAATGAAAAAAGTCTCTTTGGTACTTATATCTCATAAAAACGGATGAACAAAAATACGTTTTTTTCTTATGTTTTCACAATTTCAAAAAATATATACGCTAAGCACCTGCCTCTTCGACGTCCAACTGTGAGCTGGCTGCAGCTGCACTGGTGGCTGAGCTGGTGGTCCATGCGCATTTTGACCGGCCACCAGTGTCACCACCGGTGTCGCCACCATGGTGGCCCAGTGTGAAGAGGCCCACCTAAGGGTTTATTGTTTCAGAGGCTAGGGTGTTTCAAGGACAAAGTGTTGGGCCTCCCGGCTTAGGGGGGAGGGGTGGTGGTTAGAGGGGGAGGAAACTGGTTTTGGCTATTTATTGATTAGTTCACCGACCCTTCTAGACAACAAAATTGAGTGACAGTGACAGTGTTAAATCACCGTGTTCTGTATTTAATTTGTTGTTTACTTTGTTTGTTATTCTATTAATTTTAGTGTTTTGTTCTATTTCCTCCTGGTCCCTTGCAAATTGTATTATCAATGCTAAATAATTGTGGTCAATTCAAATTATATTTTTTGATTATTCAAATCTCCTACACAAAAAGACAAAAGTCAAACCAGGCAAGGAAAAAACCTGCTATTGTAATCCCCGTACCCAGCCATTTGGGAAGTGGTGAGAGTGTGACGGTGCAATTTCGTCCTGGGACAAAATTGTACTGTCGGCCTCGGATAGCTAAACTAATTGAGTTAGTCCAGGGTTAGTAGTAATAATAATAGTTAAGTTTTAAAATATGGGCTCAGATATGGTCGTTAAAGCATCAGCTTTCAGTGAATGACACATTCATTACTGCCCGGGTTAGGCCCTAATTTAAACAAAATTAATAATTAGGCGTTAATTCCGTGAGTGAAACACTGGTCGTAAATAAACTAAAAATATTAACTTCGAAAATAAAATAAAAACTTCTAATTAATGGATTTACCGTGTTTCACTCTTAGAATTAAAACCAATTATACTTACAATTTAACCGATTCGATTGTCGCCCTCAGCCTAACACCTACTATTCGACGACACCAGAGTTATTTCACCACTGGCCTCGACCTACGGCTTCGCGACGGATATGCGCGGATCCGAGAGCTATTCCGCCCTCGGCCTAACACCTAGGTTTCGACGCTACCAGGGTTATTTCACCACTGGTGTATTTACCGGGCTATTCCGCCCTCGACCTATCGTCTCGCGGTCCGAGAGCTATTCCGCCCTCAGCCTAACCCTAGTATTCGACGCTTCCAGGGTTATTCCACCACTGGTTATTACCGGGCTATTCCGCCCTCGACCTAAGGGAGATGTTGCTAGCTATTCGCCCAGCACTCAAGTCCGACTGTCCCCTGTCCTGCGCGGCTTTTATAGGGGTCGCGACGCTAGCGCAGTACGTGGCCGCTCGGAGAACTAATGACCTTGCGCGGGACATTTGAAATCGTCTGAACGCTCGCTTTCTGATCTCGTAATATTTTAACCATTACACCCCCTCTTTAGTTCGGGGTGAGAAAAAAAATGCACGAAAAAAAAATTCTCTCACTTCAGAGAAATCAACAATGGGTGCCATCGTTTCGCATAACTGAAAGGAAAACTCTCGTATAAAATAAAACAATATTCTTTTGTTGTTAAAACTTTTTTTTTCTATTTCCATTCGGGGGGTTTACTTTGTACCGACCTATGACAATAACAGGGTCCTTCATATTTCGGCACCAATCGACTCGTAATAGCTTCGGTTTTCGACGAGAGCACGTGAGTTTGCTTTAGAACGGACCGACTAACATTGTACCACACATCCCTTCTCCGTAGGTTAGCCTGTCTAAAAGCAGTTCGGAGGTTCTTTTTGGGTGTCATCGTACAATTTCGTACAACGCCGTATCCGTTTGGCATGTTTAACCTCACGCTCTGGTTCTCCTAATTCCGAAGTATATTTGTCGTATGAAGACGGACATTTGCTTACTTTCGCAAACGAAGTATGATACCCACGATCTGGGTTTGGTTGCTCGGTAACCTTTGAGGTTTGTAGCGATGGCTTGAAATGCGCGACTATGGGACAGATTGTGACTCGTACATCTTCAGCCGGTGGCTGCTTAACGGGGTTTTGTGACAACGCATCGGCAACTCTGTTATCAGTCTCTTTACGATTCGTGACCTGAAATTCGTCATCTTGTTTCAAATGACAAGTTATAACGTTGTACGTGATCAAGCCTAGTTTATGTAGCGTATCTACTCCCAAAACAGCATCGCTAGTCAGCGAAGGTAGAAGGACTGCATTTAAAACGTTTTTCCTATCGTCAATCGTAGCCTCAAACTCGAAAAGCTCAGTTTGTTTCGCTGTAGTACCGTCCGCAAATCGAGTCTCAATAGAAACTGGCTTAGGCCTAATTTCACAACTTACCAAGTGTTTCGCCACTTTGGAACTAATCAGGCTCATAGCTGCCCCAGAATCCAAAAGAGCCAAATAGCTTTTTCCATAAATAGAAATCGCAACGTACGGCCGATTGTCCGTGGGATCTTTGACTGACCCAAAACCCGTCGGAAATATTTTAATACGCTCCAACCAATCATTCCAACTAGAGGGTTTTTGTGTAACCTGGGTATGAGCTCCTACCACCAGAGTCCGAGTTTTGTTTCCCAGATTGCACCTACAATTGACTGTTTTAATACCCACAGTTTTACAGTTAAAACATTTTAAAACTTTTGGACGTCGGCAATCTCTGTATAAATGCCCTATTTTATCGCAATTCCAGCATGTGATCGGTCGTCGTGCAGTTTGTTTCCCCTGCCTACATTCTCCTATACTCGCGATATTTGCGGTATGCGCGGCATTCGGCCTACGTGTATTGTAGTTATCGCTATTTTGATTAACCATGCGGTTATTCCACCGCTGGTTAAAATTGTATTTTCGATGATGCAATGATTTATTTACTTCGTCCCGCATTCCTTCATTCTCGCGTTCGTGTGTATTTATTTCTGATACATTAATGACGGATTGGGCAAAATGTTTTTCCATTTGCTTTCGTGGCTGATAAGCTGTTTCCGGTACCAGTGCCATCGACGGCGGCGGTGGCGGACGATATAACGACTTTTCACGCATATAACTTTCAACATGCGTCGCCTGTGTAATCATCTCCTCAAGAGAGAATATTTCTCCTCTCCTCATCGTTAACTTGTAGTCCGGTCGCATATTGGTAAAAATAATGTCCAGCTTTTGTTGTAACGAAAGCCCGCCTTTCCTTCTCATTAACGTCGTTATCGCAACTACAAAGTCCCTAAAAGGCTCCTTTTCGCCCTGTGTTCGCCGCCTTATCTCTTCATCAAGGTTTCGCTGATAACCCTGTGGCAGAAATTGTAGCGCGAAACTGTCTCTAAACGTCGCGAATGTTGGCCAGAAATCTTTCCCATTTCTGTACCACAAAAGTGCAGTACCGGTAAGCAATTCGGGAAGTGCTTTAAGTATCTCGTCATCATTAATCCCGTATGCTTCGATTAACTCGTCAAGTCGTTCGAGGAATGATATGGGATCTTTATGTCCGTCAAACTTCACATTCCATTTTCTAACAATACTACAAACTGATGGCGTAGTATTATATTCGTCCGGCAAATGTCGCATTTTGCTAACAGTAGGCATATTTGACGTAACTGTTTGCGTACTCATAATAGGCACCGAGCTGTAAGTTACTCCGCCCGTGCCTTGCATTGGTTGTGTTGGATAGTTAGTATCGTAAGTAGTCGATCGTCGTGTTAAATTTGCAATTGATTTACACAATTCCTCGAACGGTACATATTCTGGCATTCCTAAAATTTCTTTAATTTTATTAACCTCGCTCGTGGTCACGTGACCTGGTATTTTACTAGGCACATCAATCGAGCTAGGCCTAACATACAACTGATTTCCCGCTACAGAAATCGCCTCTCCTTCCGAATCATAAGTTGGAGTTTGCTGGTTTCCTCGGGGAATTCCCTCTTTCCAAAACTTCGAGAATCGGCGTCTTAATTCGTCCATTGTTCCCGACGAATCTAACCCATACCTATCCATCTCTCGCTTAAGCTCGTCTTTATTTAACGACCTTATCCAACTTGTCCTAGGATCTTCTTCCGGCGGAGTTTTCGAACTTAATTCTACAGCTTGTGTCGTTATCGGCAAAGCTAACATTGCGTCTGTCGCAGTAGTAGTTTCAATCGGTTTGGTCGGTTTCGATATCGCCCCAGTACTCGTGGTAGTAGTAATCGTTGAAGTACTAGTCGTTTCGATCGATTTGGTCGTTTTCGATATCGCACCCGTACTTGTAGCACTACTCACGGTGCTCGACGTAGTCCTGAGAGTTTTTTCCGCAATAGTTTTACTCGGAGTAACTACGTAGTATACGGGCCAGAGAAGATAAGACCAAATATTTAAGAACAATTGTAAAACTCGCATTTTCGATTTTTACCGTTCTTACTCACTGAAAAACAAACCGTTCGGGCGCCAGCCAAAAATGGCAAAAATTAACGATCGATAACTATATAATTACCAAGTCCCTGTTCGCAGCGCCATTTGTGACGGTGCAATTTCGTCCTGGGACAAAATTGTACTGTCGGCCTCGGATAGCTAAACTAATTGAGTTAGTCCAGGGTTAGTAGTAATAATAATAGTTAAGTTTTAAAATATGGGCTCAGATATGGTCGTTAAAGCATCAGCTTTCAGTGAATGACACATTCATTACTGCCCGGGTTAGGCCCTAATTTAAACAAAATTAATAATTAGGCGTTAATTCCGTGAGTGAAACACTGGTCGTAAATAAACTAAAAATATTAACTTCGAAAATAAAATAAAAACTTCTAATTAATGGATTTACCGTGTTTCACTCTTAGAATTAAAACCAATTATACTTACAATTTAACCGATTCGATTGTCGCCCTCAGCCTAACACCTACTATTCGACGACACCAGAGTTATTTCACCACTGGCCTCGACCTACGGCTTCGCGACGGATATGCGCGGATCCGAGAGCTATTCCGCCCTCGGCCTAACACCTAGGTTTCGACGCTACCAGGGTTATTTCACCACTGGTGTATTTACCGGGCTATTCCGCCCTCGACCTATCGTCTCGCGGTCCGAGAGCTATTCCGCCCTCAGCCTAACCCTAGTATTCGACGCTTCCAGGGTTATTCCACCACTGGTTATTACCGGGCTATTCCGCCCTCGACCTAAGGGAGATGTTGCTAGCTATTCGCCCAGCACTCAAGTCCGACTGTCCCCTGTCCTGCGCGGCTTTTATAGGGGTCGCGACGCTAGCGCAGTACGTGGCCGCTCGGAGAACTAATGACCTTGCGCGGGACATTTGAAATCGTCTGAACGCTCGCTTTCTGATCTCGTAATATTTTAACCATTACAAGAGTCTAGTCTAAATATAGCTCAAAGGTCTCACCCTTCCCTTCCCCTACTCAATGTTACTATTCCGCTCATTTCAAGGTCATTGCACAACGCCTGCATCCCGTCTATTGTTTTGCCTTTATAGTGTTTCTATTCTGACTTTTATAAACATAAATTTATTGCTTACGTAGTTCAGTAGTGAAATTTTCTATTGTGAAACAGTAGGCCTACTTTAAAACAAAATCACTACCGGTCATGTCATTCTATTCTGTGTCAAGTCAGTATACCATTGCCATTGCCAGTCAGTCGCCGGCGACTGCTTTGATTTGACCTATTCTGTCGTGACAGCTATAAAAATAGGTTAGGACAACTACCTCGTGCTTATTTCTATAATGTACTTTACTCAAACTTAAAATCTCGAATACTCGTCCATTTTGTGTTAATAGTATAAATAAAGTTGGATCCATTAAAACCGGATCCAGCCCAAGATCCGATTTTTTGTGGATACGATCGGGCGTCGGTTCTAGCTCAGATCCGGCGGATCCGGTAGTCCGATATCCGGATCCGACCATCACTAAAATAGACAGTAAACAATGATAATCAACTTTTTTGGTTCGTGCTGATTTAAGAATGAACCAGAAGTATTGAAAGCCAACAAATATAAATGTGAAAACTAAGTAACAATACTACCGTACGTCATAAAATAAACTCTATTTTATTTAATACAGGTCAATAATAATAAACTTAACGATTGCTTTATTGATATATAGGCTTATTCTAATTGTTAGTGAAGGGTGAATTTCCTTAGGCCAACCATAAAATTAGCAGTGTCCATTAATGAGGTTAGGTCAGCAACTATCCTCTTGTTCATAATTTTATTTAGTACATTTTTTACTTTAACTTTTTTTAAGGTAAAGGATCCATTACAGAAACACATGTTGTATTTAATTTTTGAAGAAAATCATGCCGTGCTGCATCGAATCGAATCGCATCGATTCGAATCGAAATTCTTTGAATCGCATCGATGCATCGAATCGAAAAAAATATGCTGCATCGCACACCCCTAGTCATATTATTATATTATATTGTATCTTCAAGACAAAAAACCAGGTTAAGGGTCTGTTACTAGAGCTGACTTCAGTGAGAGAGGGCAGGTTTCATCCGTAGTGTATTCACAAAGATTTTGGGGTTTGGACCAATTTATCTCAAAAGTGTTTAGAATTCTCTCTATAAATTGCTACCTTGTTAAAACAAACATAAACAAACAAATAATGCATTATCTTAAATTGTTAATGGTTTGAACAGACGCTTCAATACCAATGATAATTTCATTTGGCTTTAGATTATGACTTTGGGTAAAATTTAGCCTCTATTTGGTTTGAGCCAATATCAAATATCACAACTCACCTACACACACTAATCTCTTGATCATAGATTGCTTAAATTTAATTTGTGTACGCTGCATCGCATTGTCTATCAATTCCTCATACAAATTCTTTTATCCACTCATTACAGCATTACATACCTTAATCCTGATGACTAACGTAAACAGTATCTGTTTCACCGTAGATGAGTTGGAGGAATCGTCCGAATCTTCAAACCACAACGGAACTGGTTTCTCCCCTCCATACACCTTCTGTACCACCTCGTTCACTTCCTGCACAAGTTAAAATCCATTGGAAAACAATAATTTTATTCGAAACAGCTGTCTGGAACCTCTTCTATAATCAGGGGGTGGAATAAACCCTTTGAACATGCAGTAGACACTGCATTAAGGCCAACGGTATGATTATTATTGCCCTACTGGGCAAGCTGGTAATGGATGGCTTAGCCCCTTGAATAGGAGAGATCTCCTTACTGTTAGAACTACATAATTTGGTGAACTAGAAAATGCAATACTGATCCTAACCTTCATGAAGACTTTCTGCACAAATACCAGATGGTTGAGCAGATCCGTGGTCAAAGAATGTTCAAAAGTTCCAATGTCGGCCACTGCGCTGATGTAGTTACCATGTCTTAACACTACACCATCTGAAACAGCCAATTATTGTGTTGGAGGAAAAAGCCACAATGATTATCATTTTTCACCTACAGAATACAAATTTGTAAGCCTCAATGTTTATATTAGGAAAGATATGGTACAAAATGAGCACTAAAAATGTTTTATGCGTATATATTGTGTAAGTATGTATGATATAAAGTACTTTTTACTAACTTTAAAAATACTGTCCCTAACTAAAAATAAAATACTGTCCATCCCTACATAAATATACAACATCCATATATTTGTAAGAAGAATAAATATAAAACAAGTAGGATTTTCTTAACTAAAGCACGGCATTTTATGCTTTGTAATACAAAAATAATTTTAACTATTAATCTAAACTTTATATAGATGTACAAATCAGAAGTCCCTGCGACTATTGCATTTAGATGGCTGACAGCAAAGCACAAATCCCTTACAGTTAACAAGTTAAATTGTAGAAAAAATCCTGGCCTAGAGCCTTTCCTAAACAAAGTTAACAAGTTAAAATAATATTACATTACCTTAATCCAAATGTTACATTACCTTGTCCAAAGAACGGCCCTTCTGCAGGTTGTACTCCGTCCAGTACGTACTCCGCTGAAACATGGACCTTGGGCAATTCTATACTGGCTTCTGAGGGTAGATTGGCTTCTGTCACCTGTGTAATGGAGTAGTTGTAGAGAAAAACAATCTTAACTTAACACTACATCCAGATTGTAATACTTGGTCAATTCAATTCCTTGGACATTTTGTGAGGATAGCAGGGTTAACTGAATGGGAAACAGTCGAATCTGGCACAAGAGACACAAAACTTGACAATATTTGTTCATTGTCACTGACAGTATTTTTAACTAAGGAAGGCACGAGACGAAGATAAAGTTGTTTCCAGGCCTACTGTTGCTACCTAGTAGTCCTGAAGAGAACTTTCTCTACAAAAAATTGGAAAGATACCAGCTTTGACTGATTTGTCTACTGTGTTATTTACCTGTACTTTAGTAGAGAACGACAGAGAGTGATGCGGCAGATCTATGATAAACTTGGCCTTGCTACCAGTGACACCTGTACTGGTGACTTGGTCCATCTTGTACTGCGCTTGTAGTGATGGCAGTAGAGCAGCAGTGATGCTTAGACTCTGCAACAACAACAGATGAGTAGGATGTAATATTGTAATTGCAATATATTAGGGAGTGTTGCTGAAAGTCTAAATACCAGAAGGTCTAATTAGATTAGAGCTTCAGCATACAATTTGCATTTTGGACTTGTTGCTGAGGGTTTAAACATGCAGTAGAAAAAGGTCTAAATACCGGAGGATATAAAAGTACAGTCAATGAAGAAAACTTATCCACTGTTACTGTTTTGGAGGTTGCAGGATTTATAGACCCTCAGCAACTGATCCTAATACTACATCTAAAAAATTAACTCTTTATATCCACGCATAGCTTGGTTTTAAGAGCTTGCCTAGTTATCAGAAAGTTTCTTAATTTGATCCTGAGAAAAGTCTGTTGCTTTTTGATACATCGAAACTAGACCTAAAGGGCTTTTAACAAGAGAAGGGCAGACAGATTGGTTTACCTGCAGTACGACGCTGAACTGCATGACCAACGGCTGTAACAGCATGTTGGGCTCTGTCAGGTGATGTCTGTGAGTCTCTGGCATCACAGTGTGAGAATGCCCTGGAGAATGTTGTGGGGCAGAATCAACCTCGTCCACCGTCGTACCTCTGGACATCCGGCTAGACGCTCTCGTCACACGCAGCTCCTACAGAACAAGTTCACAGTTCAACCATGACGTCAAACATTTTGTCTACTCGTTATTCGTTTTTAGTAAACAATTCTTAAGTTCAGACAGTTTCCAAAACTTTGAAAAGATTGGCAACCTTTTTTTATCTATGCTTTTGCCCAACCACAGGGGTCCAGGCACAGAATAAAGACTTAACCTAGAACTCTCACTGTGCCAATAAAAACATTGCATTTGGATCTGCTAGTGTCTACACCTCAATACAGTGGCGCTGATGTCGATGTGATTTTTTAAAGTATAAATTTCACTTGGATAGATGATCAGCTGATAGCAACAGTGTAGTGATGTCAGTTCTCTCTCCTACCACCAGCCAGTGACAACAGCGTTCATAGATTCTGGTGTAGACACTAGCAGAATTAAGTACAACCTTTATTTGCTGAGTGAGAGCTCTAGGTTAGGTCTTTATTCTGTGACCTCCTGTGATTGGAACATGAGAAGCAAAGCAAGGATGATCCTTGGAACAAAATCGTAGGCTAGGGTTGTGTTGCTAGCCTAGTGGTTAGTGTCTCGGACTTCGGTGCGGGAGAGATGGGTTCCATCCCCGGCACATCCACAAACATTTATTCTCTTGTGAATCTCTTGCTAAATGCCACTGGCGTTGGAAAAAAAAGTCTTACGGATAAATATTAGTGGCAGCACCTGAAGCAGACCCATGTCATTGCTCTAATGTATTATTGCACGTGCTTTAGACAGTTTATTACTTCATTATTTCAACAACCATTTACCATCAGTTATACAAATTTGAGATACATTGAAAAATTCTGTCGGTTTATGAGACATCTGGGACTAAGCTGATATAACAGGGACTTTTTTAGGATTATAAATTTTGGGAGCTGTAGACACCCTGATATAGCAAGTTCATTTTTCTATTCTGGGGGTGAATTTAGACTGTCTGGTTTACTCTTCAGCAACATCCTAGAACCAGCACCAGTTTTGCCTCCAACCCACCTGTGGGAAGCAAGCTGTTCTAGTGGTAGTGCGCAGGGCCTCGGTCCCCAAAGTCCCCAGTTCAAATCCCGCCAATCACCAATGGGTAATGTCAAAGTGACATAACCGCAAGCCTCTAGGGCTAGCTTGTAGAAATGTGTAAACAATTCCTGGCAAGAGCCTAGCGTCCAAAGTTAGGAAGGTGAGAAAAAATAAAATCCCACCTGTAGTGTGGAAGACAGCTGTTTGCTGCCTCTGGTCATCATGCCATGCAGAGCCACTGGGTGTTGAGGGATGTCCACGGCCACGGCTCCGATGGTCAACAGACCGGAGTTCTTGTCTCTACCTCGGCGAGTCACACTGGAGTAGAGTGCTTGAGACTTGCCCACCGTCACCTTCACTACCGTCCTAGGCAGACCCCAACACAAGGTTAGTTTGTATTGGATTGGAAGTGAATGTGAAGAAATTAAAAGTGTTAAGTAAAATGCTTAAGACACGGTTCTTTATGTAACAAAACAAGTTAAAGTTTAAAGCACTAATGATAGCTCGAAAGATTGAATAGTAAGCTGTGCAAGTAATTTTCACTGTAGGCCCAAGTAATTTTTTTACAAAGCCTCTAATAGCCTTCTTTAAAATCTTAGCCAAGTATGTTAACAGTTTAAAATAACTGTTTGATAGGTTGAGCATTAAGGATATGGCTCTTCAATCAATTATATCAATTATTAAGGATGGGAACGCCACTAGGTGTGTATTTTAACACAAATATGAGTGAGGAATGAGTGGCGCGATCTTGTAGTCTTGTTAGTGACTAATGCCGACATTAATTAACAGCCCATACAGCCTAAGGGCAACTAAGGGACCTATAATATTGGAATCCGAACCACATTTTTGCCTTGTAATTAACAAATTGGTCTATTTATCAGGATAGCACTGGGGGTACTCACTAGTGCAGATTTTAATCCACACCAGGGAGTATCGCATCCACAGTGCATGCCTATAAATATCCACAATTTGTGACTTCCTAGTAGCTGGATTACAGGTCGACATCACCGTCCCAGTCTCTTTGGAGCTTATAGAGTATTCTCTCTTATAGATCTACCAAGACCCAGCATCTTTTTGGTAATATCAACACCAGTTGCAATTTAAAAAAAAAACTGTTCAAACACCCAAATATTTGGAAATAAAAAATCAAACCTTTCTCTCTTGAACCAAAGACGCTAACCACTAGCCACTAGCAACACACCAAAACAAAGTTATGACTGTGAAGCGATCATGTACTAACTGTTGGTTAGGTGCGACTCCCTCCAGCAGCACTACCATGGTCCTCCCTACATGCCCTGTCAGCGAACACTCCAGACTGGCTGGACGAGTCTTCTTGCGTACAGTGAGTGAGGAGTGTAGATTGGTGATCTCAGCTTCCAGCTTGAGTCCACTCAGTGTCGCCAACAGTCTGGTGCGATGTATCTTAGCTACGGCCAGCACAACCAGACGTGTCCGCTCACCTGCCAGGCCTACAACACATTAAAGATAATAAAAGTAAGTTAATCCCATTTTCATGTTATTATAGCTTAAGCAAGATTTAGAATAGAAACTGACATAGGTGAATTGAGCTACAGATGTCAGCGTAATATACAAAAACAAAAACTACCTAACCAAACTGGAAAAACAATTTATTGTACACTGTACATCAAGTATTGTAGTACCAAAAACCTAGGGTTTTTTTCCCATAAGATGCTAGGCACGAGCCAGGGATTGTTTTTCACATTACTTCAGGCTAGACAAAGGGGTTGTCACTTATAATATGCATTGTATTATACTTTTTGTTTCTACTTATATTATACTAAAGTTGTAATGTACTTATATATGCGGTATTATCACTTATAATAATTTAATAATAAATTACTGGATAGCATCCATTTGTGATTTGGCAGGATTTGAACCCGGGACCTCATGAACCGAAGTCCCGCACTCTAACCACTAGACCAGGTCGCTCCTCCCAACCAATAACCTCGGTGGAAAATATATTTTTTTAGCCTTGGTGAGTGGCTCTTTCGAGAATGTTCAATTTGAATTTAATATAAAACTTGGGTACGCCAGGTCCATATGAAATGTCTACTTCGGTATCCAAAAGCCAATAGTCCGACTTATCAAAGCTCCACCTTATTGTTACGTCACTGGCGATGACGACGAAAATGAGATACTAACATACTAAATTACAAAGTACTACACAACAACAACTTACTGATCTCTCGCTGGTTGCTGTTGTTGATGTTGGGTGGAGGGATCGGTGTAGAAGCTACTGGATGTTCCCCCCTTTCCACGTCATCATTGGACTTGATCTCCGGCAGAATGTCGTACTTCCTGTTGCCTTTGTAGCCTTCGGACACATCACCTCCGACGGAGAACCGACTGGAAAATAAACTGTACTGTAGTCGTGGACACTTAAGGTGGACCCATGGATTGGAACTTGGAAGAGGTAGGATTGACGTTAGGGGCAGATGACTTGGGGTAGAGAGAAGGTTAGGTAGGGCTGAATGAATGCGTCTAAGGACAGGGAAAATAAAAAAAAACTTTGATTCCGCAGTAGTCTTTTAAACAACATAAACTAACCAGCACCAAAAGTGAACTTCCAGTTACCTGTGTGCTATTGTCTTGGTCTCGGGCATGGTGGCGTACAAGTCCAGCAGGTAGTACACAGTTTTCCAACACCTAGGAGTGACACTTTCCTCCTTGTTGACTGCTAGTCCTGGAGCAGCCAGTGGGGCAGACTCCCCCAGGTTCAGGTATCCTGGAACAAGACATTCTTGAAGTAGAGTGTTATATGGTTGGGACAACAAAATTATCAATTATATTTATAAAATGATGATATGGTAAATGGATAGTTATCAAGAAGTGGTAAAATGGATTAAATGGTATTGTTCACAAAACGGCAAACACTTTTTCCTATTAAAGGAGAGGTAAGGATAGAAACGGGAAGTTGGAAAAATGTAGAGAAACTTAAATGAATATTCCGATTCAACCCTGGAACTGGGGGAGAAGAGATTTTTTGATAGACTTGCCTTAAACTTACTTTCCTATGAAACCAATAAAATAAAACTTCAATTATCTAGATAGTCCAGTTAGCTTAGGTAGGAATATAACCAGGGTTTGGAATTGGTTGTTCCTTACAATAAAACTTAAAAGGGATTCTGTCATAAAAAACGCCTCAAAAAAGGAAGAGAACCAGAAAGGAAAAAACTATGACAAGCTTAATCATAAATAACTTCTTGATCAGCATTGTATGTATTATTAAATTTACGGAAAGTAAATATAGATACGTCTTATAACACTTAAAAGTTTAAGTGTTATAAGACGTATCTTTATTTACTTTCCGTAAGCTTAATCATGTCAGCAATAAAATTATAACATATAAAGTGCACATAAATAAATGAGTACAGGTATATCTCAGACATACACAGCAGAAATATTCTTAGTCGTTACAGTATACAAGTACAGTAAACTGAATTTAACTTAGTTAATTTTTCTTGTAAAACAACCCCCCCCCCCCCCCCCAAAATATTCACCCTATTCCATACACAATTGATGTGCATAAGCCTAAAAGAAGAAAATGTTCAAAAAAGCAATCAACATACCTCTAACGCTCCTGCCAGTGGACCGGAGCCGTTCAGCAAACGACGTGTGACGAGACCTGACAGACGACGCAGGTGACGTGATAGGTTTGGTCTCGCTGGGTGAGTGGGGGAACGGCAGACGACCTTTGTCTAGGTCAGGCACGGTGGTCATCAGAGGTATGGACATCTCTGGACCATCTAGGGCTGTAAACACACCATAGCATATTGTATTAAGACTGTATGGCATTTATTGAAAATATAATCTTAAACTTAGAGATCCTTTCTTTTTTACTTAGGTGAATCTACAGCTTGAGTATTTAGCCAGGTAGCTGTATTATATTGCTCACCCTGTAAATAAAAGGTCGCCGGTTCAATCCTCAAATGAGTAACTTTTTGATGGTATTGATTGATTGGACCCATCCAACCTTAAACACTGGTAGGGATGGATGGGTCTTGAAATTTCAAGAAATTTTCAGGAAATTTTAAATCTTGTTCTATGAGATGAGATTTTATTTAGATCAAGTTTTTTTTTTTCGAGATACGATTATAAAATAAACTAAGAAAAAAACAACGATAAAAACGCATGCAGAAACTCAATGCAATACCCGCAATACAGGAGCGCGTTTTCCTTTGCGAAGGCGTTCTTATTTAACTAATTCTTTACATGTTAATATTGCTTTAATTGTTTTATAATTTTTTGTTTTGAAATCGCAAATGATGAGAATTTTTGTTAAATGTAAGCAGTGTGAGACAAGTTTTACTACTGTAAACATAGCCAAAACAAGTCACTCCAAAATCATTCTAAATAACACAAGACTGAACAATTGTTACTTGATACTTAACTAGTAAGACTGATGTTTTAGGCTGATAAATTTGGTATTTTTCAAAGTTGAACTGTATCCTAACTGATATCACCATGTTTCCTATGTGGAAGAGTTATTTTTAATAAGGTAGGCCTAATAATAATTGGTTTTTTTTAATAGCGAAGCAAAGCTTTTTGGGATCAACTTTATTTAATGCAATCTTTATAACACTAAAACTCAATAACAGCTGAACACATTTTAGCCAAACTTACCAAGGTTGTTTTGTCAAATGTTTGGATAGTTTAAACGTAACCAATTTCAAGTTTTGATAATGCTTATATAATTTAAAAGTAAGTTTTTAAATTTTAACATTGGCCTTATGGGTTGTCATGATGGTTACAAAATAACAACGTAAATGTAAACAAAACAAGGAATCACAGCATATGTTAAAATCAAGCCACGACCTAAAACACAGTAAAAAGGAAAAAATCGAATGATGACAACTGATCAAATAATACAGAGAAAGTCTTTTAAGTTTACATTTAAGATTTAAGTCACAATTTGAAAACGACCACTGTTCAAATAGGTACAGTCATAGATAAAACATACTGTTGTCAATCGTATTTGTAAAAAGTAATAATCCATTATGCAGTGTTATAATTTTGTCATAACAAAATTACGTAAATGTATGATTCAAAAATTAAAGGTATCACTGCATCCGAAACACAATGCCATTATACGTACTTCCGAGCAATACACGTTCTTTCCCGACAAAGCCTTCCCCTTTCTACCATTACCAACGATAAGCACCGCCCGGCGTCGTCTAACTTACCATGTGTCTAACTGCCTTATCATCGGCCTGTTCGTATAGAACCAAAAAAATGTGTACAAAAATACTTGGAGAAAATATTGGTTGCAGCATTGAGAGTTAAAATAAAAATTACCAAATTTTACAGCAATTTTGGTTGAAAGCGAGGCAGTCTGAAGTACATACCAGATACCACAGCTGGGGGAGTCTTAGCCACAACTTTGTTGTCGGGCTGCTGCTCTCTCAGCTCTGATTGGGTCTCTTTCACATTCTGGTACATGTTGCTGATCTGGTGCAGCAGTCGTAGCAGGGGCATGTTTACCTACACATAGAGTAAAATAAAAACAGTTTTATACATAGGGTGTACTTGAATTACCCTGGTATCTAAATATAAATTTCTTGAAAATAAATACAGTAGACTATCAGTTAAGGGTCTGCAGGTCCCCGATATTTTAGAGTCAGGTCGGGCCAAAAATAGTTTTCAGGCCTAACTTGTGTCAAGTCGAGCTGAGATTTTTCTTTCGCGATAGAAAAAGAGATGTCACTCAATGTCATTCGAAATGGAGAATCGTCGATTTACCTTTGACCAAAGAAAAGCAATACATTTTAACAAATTTGGCATCACCATTGAAGATGTTCATGATTTCGCTGAGACTGTAGAAGAGACTCAAGAAGAAGATTTTGCCATGGCTGCAGAAGATGTTCGCGATTTCATCGTGACCTCGGAAGGTGTTTATGATTCCCATAGACTGTAAAAGACATTCACGATTTGTCGATTTTCCTGTGATGAAGGAAAATCCTACTAGATTTTTCTGTATCTGCAAAAGACGTTCATGATTTCACTATGGCCGCAGAAGAAAATCCCAATTTCCTCCCAGTCTAAGGTTGATGTTCACGATTATGCAGTGACTGCTAAAAACTTTCATGATTTTACTGTGATCATGGAAGATGTTCACAATTTAAGGCCATGGAAGAGATCATATATATTATAAACATGCATAAAATGCATTATTTGACTATCACTCATATTTTGGTAAATCAATACTTTCCCAACCCACAATTTTGGCTTGAGATCCTAGGGACTACATTTTTGACCCAACCATACACGCTCACAACCGTTCACTCACCTGTTGGGAGATGTAACGTACTGACACGCTGACGTTGAGCGCAGTGTTGGAGTGTTTCTTGAGTTGTCCACGGCTCACATACAACATGTTGCGGCGTTGTCTACTCAGGTCCTCTACGATGGTCATGTCTGCCAGTCTGCAGAGCTCCAGTTCAACCCCTACTCGCTCGCACAGGAAAGCTGGAGTCTCAGGTGGGATCTCCAGCCAGAACTTGTCTGTCAACAGTCAAAACATTAGTTCGTAACCTAAATGTGGCATACTACTTGGAGATTAACCACATGAAGAATCACTAGTACCTTAAAAACTGTCCTATTTCACTCTTCCTAAAAGTAATCTATTAGAGGTTTAGTTTCCTCATTAATTTCTTGAATCATTTCAGAAACCTTTTTTGGATTTAAAAAATTACAACTTTTTTAGAATCTTGTTAATCATCTTTGAGCACACATACATAACTGACATTTACCCTTTAAAATTGGCACTACTATGTCAAATGGAATAGTCGTGAAACTTGTTTGAACAATCTAAGATTCAGGGAAAAATACCCGTAGTATATGAACAAGAAGAGTTAAAAAGGACCACAAAATTTATTTTCAGAGACACTCAGCTGAAATGAAAATGATAAACAACAATTCCTGAGGAATGAATATAATCAGTGAGAAACTTTGCTGTTCATGATCGGTAGAGGAATTTTTCTGAGTTTATTTAATTTGTGTTCAATTTAAAAGGAAACTTTAGATATTTATTTGACCCTCTTATATTGCCTTGTCTCTAACTTTAGAATGTATACATATTAAACATACCTTGAGGCTTGTTCTTGCCCTGAGCTGATCCGGGTTTGTTCCCGGGTCTGCCTCTCTTGTCCTGGGGTTTGCCAAACTCACTGACCACAATGTCAATCCTCATAGCCTCCATACCTCCCACGAGGGACAGGTTTGATCCCCACGAGTCCAGCGAGTTGTTGCCGCTTACTGGAAAAGAATGAGAAAATATTTCAAGTGGATATTCCAGCTGCCCTTGATCATAGGGACAGCAATAAATGGTCCTGACTAATGAATCATCTGATCTTAGTCAGTGACAAAGCTATACAATCTCACTCCATTATACACTCACCATGCATTCACGTTAAAATAAGCATCCAAGTGCGTCTCACTGTCTCAAAGCTTTGAAATAACAGAAACACAACTTAAACATACACACTTGTCTGAGCCACCGAATTGTGCAGAAGTGTCCATAGGGTTCTCTTTCCCACTATTTTTAGTGTTTATTATTCTCTTTTATGAGGTTTTGTTTTTGTTTCGCTTTTGACTATATCAGTGTTTTCTGATTTTCCAACTTTTCTGCATTTGTGTACTAGACATACATTTAGATGGACCAATAGACCAATCTATTCAAAATGAGCATAGTGGAAAGAGCCACTCACAGAATGCACTTAAGTCTAAAAATGCATATATCTGCCCTAGTGTTTGTCACTGGGATAGTTGATGTGACAAAAAAACGCTATATAGCTTATGATAATTGGTCTTATCAGTTTGACTTGGATAAAAATTTGCTGTATTCAACAGAAATCAGTACTAATTTACATCAGCACAATCTGTTGGCTCAATTCAACTACATCCATTGATTCATAAAACTTTTGACAACATGACCATGGACATGGAATGTCTAGTATCAATAAATTAATTTTTTGACCTAAGAATGGGGTTCAGGGTGTCTACTACATTCTGGATAAAAAATTCATGGACAATTCCCGTACATTTAAGGACACTTTGCCGTAACCTTTGTCGGTGTCATTAGGCCTACCGAATAATTTTCCTGATTTGTCAAACTGTATTAATCTCACTGTATTAATTCACTGTAGTTGTACCAGAGATAAAAGTAAATAATAATAGAGTTAAAAATTAAAAAATAGAAATTTATTGAAAGTAAACAAACATAGGCCTACCTATACTTTAGGTAAAGCTTTTATAGTGTAACAGAGAAACGCAATCATTGTCTCCTGCGATAGCGACAAATATCTACATCCGTCACGTAAACTTCATAACATAGCTTATCCGATCCAGGCGGATTAATTTGGCATGATTCGCCCTGGCACAACGTTAGGTTCTCGACTACTTTTGAAAAAAAATCTGCATATTGTTACTCAATTATTAGTACAAAATCAAGGTATGGTAAGTGGCTATTAATAAGCAATAAGCAAAGAGTAAGATTATTGTATTTTCATTTGTAAAGTTAATATCGACACATAGCAATCATTAGTTGTTTATCTTAGGCTCAATTACATTTTCTTAATATATTTTACAGCTCTTTCAAGAATCAAAATACCCAGGCCTAAACCTAATTATTTAGGAGGGCCTATAAAAACTGAGTAACAAACAATGAGGTTATAATAGCAGCAAAGTCACTATCATCATTCTAGTTCATAAGCTTTAGATTGCTTAAAGCATACAACTCAATAAAAAAATTAGGGATGGTCAAGTCTCGAAATTTCGGGAAATTTTCGGGAAATTTTAAATCTCGTTACACGAGACGAGATTTCTTTTTGGCCGAGATTTTTATCGAGACGAGAATTAAAAAAAAAAAAAAAAAAAAAAATTAAAAACGCCTGCAGAAAGTCAATGCAATACCCGCAATACAGGAGCGTGTTGTAGTTGCGTTTCCTTTGCGAAGGCGTTCTTATTTAATTAATTCTATAAATGTAAATATTACTTTAATTATTTTAATAATATTACTTTAATAACATTTGAGAAGTTTTGTTAAGTGTAAGCAGTGTGAGGAATGTTTTATTAGGTACTATAAAAAGTGAAAACAAGTAACTATTTTATAAAAATTAATATTGCTTTTATTTTATGATTTATTTTATTTTAGGATAAGTTGAACTCTATCCTAACTGATATCACTATGTTTCCTAATCGTAGGCATTTTTAATAAGTTAGGCGTGATTAATAAAAAAATGTTATGCTGATGTTTTTTAATAAAAGATTGTAAATATTCTTGCCTATTATCATTATTTTTGTATTTAAACAGTCATCTAACAATGTTACAAAATCAGGTAAAAATTTTGAACGTGCATTTCCCGTTGTGTATGAGAAGGGAAATCCCGTCTCGATCTCATCTCGAAATTTTATGAGAAATAAAAAATCTCGTCTCGTCTCGTCTCGAACTAAAATTTCAATCTCGTCTATCCCTAAAAAAAATATATGGGAAACAAAAAACATTGAAACCTGAATAGCCAACAATATAAGACAAAGATACAGAAAATGCAATGACATAATTTGAAACCAAGCAGGCCTACATAGTGATAAAACATTAATGCAAACAACAATGATAGTGGTTTTGTCAATTGAAAGATAAAATGTCCATAAAAAAGGGGTTAACTTACAAAATAAGACTGTAGATTATTTACATGTTTAATATGAAACCATAAACAGTTTTATGGCACTAGGCACTGGCCGCGGGAAATTGAATCTTATTCAAGCCGAAAGTACAAGTAAGAAGTGAAATTTAACAGCCATTATAAAGCTATTATTTTCACGATAAAATAGGTTTGGGATCTAATAATAATTACCCTAGTAATAAAAAAAGAAGTTGTAAAGGAATAAAAGTGATACAACTTTTATGAGCTAGCTGCTGTCAACAGTTCTTGGAAGTACTTGACTTGACACTTGATTGTCGTGATAAAATATTAATGGGTTTGAGATTGTTAATGGGATTTTTATTGCATAATTACTCTAGTAATAAATTATGGAAATGTAAACAAACATCTGATAAACCTTTTATGTGCTCCTAACCAACTAGCGATCAATAAAATTATGGCCCATTAAAAATTTAAGGACATTGTCTGGCATTTAAGGACAATTCCCGTACATTTCATGGCCAGTAAAAATTTAAGTACAATTCCCGGTTTTCCCGGTTGGTAGACACCCTGGGGTTAGATCCCAGATCACAAAACGTCACAGGGTTTTTTACTTGCGACTATTTTCCGAGCAATCATTCACAACACAACTGACACATAGATGAAAGGCTACTTACTGGCGCTGCTGAGCATCTGCTGAGGCATCACCCCAAGGCTGGACAACAGAGGTTCAAAGATGAGGTGAGCGTCGAGCAGCCGCAGGTTGTCATGCATCGGGTAGAGACTGTAGCCTGCTGCGGCCAATAGTAGATAGTCTGGGTTGACCATGGACGAGGCGTTTGCCACACTCACTCCCACACGGCCGTTCTCCATCTTGGGCTCACCCTGCGAGTGGTATGGATATTACACACTTTATGACACAAGGATGAGCTGGACACTCAAGTTGATTGCAGTAGTGTATAAATACTTTTGTGTAAAGTTGTCATAAGTGGCATTTTGTTCACTTAGATTAGTATGCAAAACAGCTGATTTTCTGAAAATTTTACTTTGCCCTTACCCACTACTTTTCCTTACTCTAAATGACAACTTGGCAGTACAAAATTTAAGCTACGTTTATAATTAAATAATAATCAAAAGGAAATGGCACCTTGTGAAGATTAAATTAACGTCCAATGGAAAAATTATTAAATAAACATAATAAACAATGTTTTCGTTTAACAACAAGGGAGTTATTAATTTCTGAGGATGATTAACAGTATGTACACATAGAGTATATTTTGTTTGCCGAGTTTTGAAGTTGGCAATGACATAGCTTATACCATTTCATAAATTATGCAGCTCAGCCAGAAAACATTTTAACCTTAATATTTTAAGTACACTTTGTTGAGCAAACAATTCTAAGTGTCTTTTTTAAACTCTATAAAATGTTTCTCTCGTTTGAAAAAGTGCCACTTAGCTCACTAGTTCCACAATTAACCATTTCTCCTTTTACAAACATTGTAAAGAATAACAGAAAGTACCAACCCAGAAAGCGCCCTTGTTGATGACTCCGGGCTCGATCTTGTCACCAGTGTCAACAAAGTCCTGATGTTTTGCCATCCATGTGTAGAGATCCTCTCCATCTTTCGGGACACCCGGAGACAGATTCTGGTCCAGGCTGGAGTTGGAGGGTTGACTGTCCGGGGCACCCATGTTCAAGCCGGATAAGCTCGGGTGGGAAGAGTGAGACTTGTAGTCCTCCTTCAGAGCTGAGTATCCGGTGTTGAAAACTGAAGAAAATTGTCGGTTTATTACTTCAAATGCGAAAAATTACTATAATTTTAGACTAATGAAACAACTGGTCTTAGTCAGTAAAAAATCTACAGAAGAAATAACGTCATTAATTAAGGTGAAAGTATTGTATAGTTAAATAGTTTTTAATGAATAAAATAAATTTTAAAGAGCTTTCAAGCAACCTGATTAGTTGATCCTGGTGTGTGATAGGTTTTTTTCCTAAAAATACATTTAAGTGATCTTGATCTCATTGATGTCAAATAACTATGTCATCAACCCGATTTTTTTAATTATGCCACTCAGGTTTTCCTAGCTCAACTACGTCACCAATCCCATCTCTTACGTCACTTCCCCCTTCACATCACTGGGGTGCGAGCTGGTTTAGTGGTAGAGTACAGGAATTCGGTACCTGTGGTGGGTTCAAATCATTCCAAAAACTAATGGCTTTTATAGTTGCGACCTCTGGGTCAAGCCTGAATTCATGTGTGAGAACAGTTCCGTGATAGAGCTAGAAATAACCCATTTTTCCTGCCTTGTTTTCATACTACCAACTACCAACGGGGTTTACTGCTGTAGAACATTGTTTTACTAACTAAAACATCTTGTGTCAAACAAAAAAAAACTTTTTGTAAAAATACATCTTGTATGGCTTCATTATCAATCGCAGTTTGAACAAGTAAAAGAGAAAGAAGTGGAGGGAAGTAAAAATAAACCATAACTAGCAGCACACTCAACTTGGGATGTCAACTTCAATATACAACATCACTGCTATAAAACATCATCATGAAATTCCGCACAATTACTCAAAAAAATCTACTCTGAAGGATTATTCTGCAATTACACAGTTACACAACTAACGCACCCATATTCTTGTCGCCCCCGTGACTGTCCGTACGCCGATGTTGATGTGGTAGAAACGGATTTGTGTTGTTCAGCAGCGGAAACACTATACTGGCTCTGGAGGAGGACGGCGGATGAGAAGGTAACAGAGACTTCTTACGACCCACCGGCTGAAAAATAACATCAATCAATCATTTTTTTAATAAGTTCAATGTTTCTCATCAATCTAAACTACACTCGGAAAAAATAGATTTTCATACCGTACTAAATGACTCTCGTCTTACGGAGATCTATTATCCCCAAGGATCTTAATCACCTCGGAAAGATCTATAAACTCATTCGCCTTGCCAAAAACTGAGCACAATGTTTTTAAACAATGGCAATACTTCATCAACTATTAGAGTAAATAAAGGAAAATATCTAAATCTAGACTGTAATATGTTCTAAGAGTGGCTCATTTCACTATGTTCTTTTTTAATACAAATTACCTAGTCCTGGTCCATACAGACGGAAAGACAACCTCAACCAAAAGTCAATAGTACTAGGTAAATTATACCTCCAACAATTACTCCACGTTAGTCACTAATAATGGTCAAAACCAGAGCTGAAATTTTAAAAAACAAATCTCAAAAATTAAAATATTTTGTCTGATTAAGGTAAAAAAATATACAAGTAATAATTATATAAACAAAAATCTAAAAATTAAAGAAATTTCACCCCTGAACCTGACATACCATGAACAACATTTCTAACTCACTTTTAAGCCTATAAAACCATAACTGTTTACAAACACCAATGAAATAAATGATACTCCTGACACTGACATAACGACCTGAATACGAGATCAATTTAAATCTTTAGTGGTCATTATCTATTTGTGCTCAATCAAAAATGTCAGCAGTTTTATTTTCATACTAAAAATCTCAAAACTGGCCGATTGAATCTCAAAATCAAAACTTCTCCAAAGTTTTGGTGGTGTTGACACATTACTCACTACTACTCGATATCACAACATCACTTATATCCCCACCTGTTGTACAGAGTTGGGTGACGTTGGAGAGCTGAACACCAGGCTGTCCATGGGTGTGAGGTGGTGGGGGGAAGGTGCAGCGGGACCTCCGACAGCAGCCCCAGGCATCACAGCGGGGGGCATAGGCCTGGCGGGGGCAGCTGGGGACACAGCTGGAAGAGTGCGGTAAACAAATGTAAGCAAGGGTAGTAGAAATTGAAATATCATTCATATGGATATTACATGATTAAACTCCATAACAAACTAGATTACAGTAGAACCCCTAATATCCATCCTCGGAATTTCCAGTTTCTTATTCTTATCTATTTCCTGTTCATATAAATTTTTAGCGGGTTCAGTACTCAGGTAAACACTACTTTCAACCAATCACAAGTTGTTATTAGATCAAATTAAAGTTTTGATAATTGGTTTATCTGGCAAAATGTTATCCGGCCAGGGGCTTGAGGAGGGAATACACTAGAGTTCCGCTAATCTAATCATCTGACTAATCCGAACCACCTTTTTTGGAAAAAGGTTGTGTTGTTTAAATTTAAAAAAAAATCTAAGTTTTGTCAAAGCTATGTGTTCTGGAATAATAACCAGGATGTCCAGCAAACTAGAAAACTAGGAATTAAACATGAGTATTGATAACTGGAAAAAATAAGAGTTTTAAGGAACCGGGAGATTTGGAAAAAATGCAAATAGCCTATAGTTTATAATCCAATCTTTCAACGGTATTACGTTGTTTCTTTTTTAAGGTCATCGTGAAGAAAGAAAACACAATTGCAGGAGATGACCACAGGTGTTGCCGAAATTGTGGTAGGTAATCGAGAGCATTTTGCAATCTTAGAAGACAGTAACTGTGTTGTCTTATACGAGAGAGCAGTATATGGCCAAAATGGTAATAGCAAAAAATCTAAAGTTTAGAAACAAGAGATAGAGTTGAACAAGAACCCAACTAACTACAATTTACTAATAGCTACATAAAATAAAATGCAGTAATTTCAAAATAATCGTGGGTAGGTACCAATAAAGCTATTATGTACTGTACACAAGCTATTAATGCTATTAATGTAGACTTAAAAATTAAAAATATTTATACATCTTTACTTATATGTTTTAGAATAACCTACGGTTTTACAAACAAAAATAAAAATTTTAAAATTGAACATAAACTTTACATAGAAAAAGTAGTCAATAAAATATCTCATTCATGGATAACAAAATAAAAAAAAACTTATCAGGAAACAAACTAACAAGAGCAAAAATAATCATAAGCCAAAAATAATTTAACAAATTTTCAAAAATAGTAAAGAAGTTTTGCGTTTACTAGTAAAATATTAAAAAATAAATAACACAGAAAAAAAAAATTTTAAACTAAAACTAACAAAACCAAAATCACTCCCAAACCTCAGAAAATACTAAACTATAAAAAACACAAAAAAACTAAAAAACTAAGAAAAAGCAACACACAAAAACAAAAAAAGCCACAAAACGACAAAAACGGAAATGAAATGAGATGAGGTGTACCGTGTTTGTGTGCGGCTGCCGTGGCTTTGAGGACTTTGTGCAATGTGGAACCTCCATCGGAGTTAAGCAGCATGGCGCACTCATCAGTGACTTCACACTCCTCACCGCTACCTTCCCCCTCCCCTTCGCCATCACCGTCCGTTAGCACATTCTCCTGCACACACTCACCGCTCAACATACTGTACCTGCCATGTGCTAAGTGGTGGTCTCTGGGGGTACAATCGGTTTCCCTAGCGGAAGGTTGCCGAATACGGCTGTGTATTTGGCGCCAACTCAACGTACACGGGTCAGTTAGAGGGGGTTATCTAGCTACCAAATTCGGCTGAGACTGTATCCACCGAGACAGGTGACTGCTCCAACAGCAGTTAGTCTCGCACTCTATAGTGACATAGACATGCTCCTCGACTGTTTTCGTATAGCTTATAGGGCAGTAGTTAATTTGAACGGTTCTAAATTGTGACAATTACTTGTGTTAATAATTTTAATTGGTTTATTAATTGACTTTCGTTACTTTATGTTCTAAAGGATTAAATTCAATAAATTCAACTTTAAATTAAGGCAAACTAACACATAAAATAACTTTGTGGCTAATTGCCGAATTAATTAGGCAGCTAAGAATAGATAAGTTAGGGGTTATAGTCATTCCACCAAAGTGAAGGTTTTCAAGTATAATTTTTATTTGTTTATGGGATTTTTTTACCTTTTTTATTTTGTTAGTTTATTAAGATTTTTTTATTATTTATTGGGTTTTTTTTAGTTTTAAAAGGTATTTTCCCCCATTTAGTTTCTTTTGTATAAAAATTATTACAATAATGAAATATTGACGTTTTAAATTATATCCGAACGATGGTCTTTAAGTCAATTTTTTTATAATCTTTGAACTAAAACTTGTCTATTAAGAGCAGCTAACATTTTGAGTTTTAATATTAGTTTTAAGGAATTTCTGTTTAAGTTTTGAATCAAACTGTTCTAAAACCAGTTTTTAACTAAAAAGCCCTCATGAATTAAGACATTTTTAATCATTGTTGTTTTTTACTTATTAATTCAGGGAAACTTGTGTTTGAAACGGGTTTGCCTGTATTGTTGTTTATAAAGTTTTTGTTGGACATAAATTTAAAAGGGGAATTACTGTAGTTTAGTGAAAATTTAAATAGATTTATGAGTACAAGTTCTCCTAAAAAAGTGTTCTAAAGACACTAATATGAAGGATATTTTAAGAAAGAACCGTTTAGGTTTACGCTTTTTTTACGCACATCAGTAACTGGTGGGCGAAAGTATAAGGTTTAGTTTGAAAAGTGTATACAAATTCTTAAATGATAAGCACCTAAATACTGGTAACTTATAAAATTAAGGTGATTTTAACTCTGTGATGTAAACTACTGTAACAAACATAACCTAACTCTTACCCTGTAAATGACATCAACAATATACCTAAATGTTTAGATGATGTCGAAGAAGACTATGTACAATATGGCCTGACTGATCGGAAATACAAATGTTAACAGCAGTGCAGTTTCATGCTTAGTTCCAGATACTTCACACCGTGTGTTAGGTTAGAAAAGCGCAATGCCAAGCCCAAGCCATACCAAGCCCTGATAAGCTCCGACAACAAATGCTTACTGAAAATCTCATCCTCGCTGTTTATTGACAGATCCCGAGCGGAAAGGTGGTCCTCGGAATAGTTGACCTGCTCAACAACAACATATACATTGGACGGTGAGTCCGTCCTCATCAGAAAACACAGTCGTGCTTTTACGCTGTACCAAAGTTTAATTGGAACCAAAAACTAGAACTAATGAATATAAGTACTAGGTGACTATTCAAGATTCATGGAACTGAAAATAATTAAAAAACATTGATGGACTTTGGCTATAACAAATTTTTGAAAAATTCAGTAGGCCTAATTGAAAATGTAAGTTTAGGGCTTAGTAAAAATTTTAATAAAATAAACAAGAATAATTTCACATAATGCAGTTTGTATTAAATGAGCAAACAGTTACAAGGAACTCAAAAAGTAATTAATGATTTAACTTTATAACTTTATCATTAGAACCAATTATGTTTACTTCTACTTTCTAAAACCAAACTTCAAGCAGTAATCTACATTTTTATCCCACAAATCAAGTTTACCCATGCTATTAATTAACATACCACATTATTTTGTAACTACTGGACTTATCAATTTTTTGCTTCAGCTTTTTAAAGTAATCAAAAAATTAAGATTTAAAAATTACATTTTTACTTAAAAAAAACTCATTACAAGTGAAATAAAAATTATTGTCTCTTGGACTAATAAATAATAAATAAATAATATTGTACTCTTTTTTATAAAATTTCCATTGTAATTTATTCCTATATAATTATTTTTAACATAAAAAACTCAATGAAAGAAAACTCTATATAGCTTATTGAATGAGATAATCAAATTTCATAAATTTTATTGTTTACATTCATTAAAATTAATAAAATGAGTTATAATATTTATTTTAATAGTTGGTAAAAATAAAAAATATACCCTGAACAAAATAATATGCTTAAGGAAAACATTTCATACAAATTTAATGAAAACAACTTGTAATTTTTTAATTTTTACAATGAAAATAAACTAGCAAGATACAGATGAAAAAACCCATGAATTCAAGTAACAATAAATTAAATATAAATATGATTTAGAAGTCGCTGCCATATGAAAGATTTTAAGTAAAAAAAAAATAATAAAATAACTTTGAGTTACTGATAGTAATCTGTATATTTAACATTTGCAGAAAAAGCCAAAAGAACCCATTTGGTGTAAAAACATCGACAAATAAAATAAAAGCGAAATGTAGCACAATTATTTTACATTAAGTGTCACTACATATAAAATATTTCAAATACAACCGAATGGTGAACAAGCAAGGGAATTTATAATCAACACCGAAAGCATAATAATTAATACTAAACCGTTACAAGCTGCTTCATAAAATACAGTTTAAAGTGTTCAATGCCTACGGATACTTTAAAAGCTGAGACACTACGGACATTACAACTATTTTAAGCACTTTAGCATGCATCCGGAACCGAAACCAATTAGAAATTGTGTTCCAAGAACTACTTCTGTGTATGGTACATTTGTGTGAGTGGAATTGTAAGAATCATTATTTAATTCTCTAAAACAACATTATTTTAGTCAACCGCACCCAAAAAGGGATGTTAATATAGCCTGAGAATACCAAAGGGAGGGAATATCCTAGTCTTAACTATACATTTTATTGTAAATTGTTTTTACTTTATCACAAAAGATATACAGGAACAGTGGCAACAAAATATAAACAGTTTTGAAATTTATTAAAGTTACTGAGGAGTTAGATCAAATTACCAATTAGAAAATTAGCAGAAAACAAGTTAAAATATTTACAACAATGTGTAACAAATTATTTGATTACATATCACCAAGAAACATTTGTTCGAAGGTTTGAAGGGATATTCAAAGCTAGGAACTATAGGAGCTAAAAAATATTGAATTCCACAGAAAGGCACCAAGAGTTGTACTAATTGAACTAAGACTAAGAATTGAATTATAAAAATTGCGATAATTATAATAATATTGCTTTATATGTTTCTCAGATTAGAGCAAAAATATATCGCTTTGCTTTTATAATAAAGACTTTTAGATTTTTAAACTTCAAAATCTGGGAATGTATCTTAAAATGGTCTATACCATTATAAAGAAATGGGGATGAAAAATAAAATATTATACAATATTGGATTCCCTAAAGCAATGAAACAATAAAATAAACAATAAAATTCAATTTCTTTCATTTAGCAACCTATGTGAATGCTTTGCTATTGCATATTTAACTGGATATTTTGAAAATAAAAAAAATTGTACTGAAGACAAATATATTGATCTGTTGATTCCTTCGACTCATTATTTGAGTATTTAAGAGTTATTTTAGTTTCATTTCAATTTCAATATTTAAGTAAAAACTTAGACGCAAAGGTTCTTACCTCGTCCGGATCCGGGATGGCAAAAGTGACATTCATCGGTTTCCTAAGTAGGTTTTTAGTCTTGAAGTTGTGTTCTAGCAGTAGAGGGGTATAGAGAATGTTCTTCCATTGACGACTTAAGACAATAACTCCCTGGAAAAAAAGATAATATAATATAGATCCTCATAAAACTAGCTGAGAAGGGGATTTTATGCAGTGGCAACTAAAGACCAGTCCAGTTTTGAAATTTAACTGAAACTAAAAATTTTTCAGCTAAGCTAGCCCAACTCCATCCCTTTTGAAAAATTATTAAATTGCTTTCCCTTGAAGCAGTGCTGGATTTACCTCTACGCCGACTATGCCGTGGTCTAGAGCCACAGCATACTGAACAAAAACCATTTATCTAAGAATAAAAATATATTTTTATTGTAAATTCCAATTTGCTGCAATTGCAAGTTACGACAATGATGTAGGCCCAGTCCGTTATTGGGGGAGATGTTTAGGGGTTTTCCATAAAAATGGGTAAGTTCCACCTATTAGCCAGGGACCGCTAGAGTTAGTTTGGCCTAGGGCCGTAAGTGCGCTGAATTCGACACTCCTTGAAGTATAAAGCAGGTTAAATGTGGCAAATGTAAGTTTAAATGGCTACAATGAATTAATAAGCCAAAACTATACCTGAACAACAAAATAAGAAGAAAAATATCAGTCTAGATTCAACTAAACGGACCAGGAAATAGTGCTATACAAATTGAGTCTTTTAACATAATTTTTTAAACCTAACAATGATGCCCCATTCACTATGTTTACAATGATTACAGTCTTGACTTGCCTGTCTCAGTGTGGACAGATGAGGCAGGTCAGGTTCTCTCAGGTTATTCTCAATGTTTGACGTCGTCTGCAACAGATACTTCTGTAGCACTGTACACAGCTGACACGACGGGTCTTCTTGTAACGTCTTGGAGAGCGGAGTGAACCTGCCGTAGCGACTCTGCAAAATAATCTCAAAATGGGTGATACAATTTGTAAAGGTATTAGTTTCTTATAAAAAAGAATTTAAGAGGCTAAGGTATCTATATTAATTGCTTAAACAAACAAATAACATTTTGTAAGAACGTTTATGACATTTGAGAAAAATTGCAGGCAATTGGTTGATTTTGAGTGTAATAAAACTGCCTGATCCCTATAATTTTCACTAACCAACCAATAAAAATACTACAATACGTTACTAGCTTAGTGCATCTCAGGAAGTGTCTAGATTCAATCTCCAACATGTCCATAACAATTTGGAGTTTGCACTGCTTTCCCTTGGATGTGTTTGTGACTTAACCATCAAAATGCCACTGGCATAAATACTAAGAAAACGTTTGGTAGGCCTAGTTAAGACATTTTCAATAATCTTGCTCTGATTCAGATTAGCATGTGCCAACTGTCTATTTTTGGGTAAGAAGATAGAAAATACTATCGGTGTGTTTCAAAAGACAAGAGTTCATTTCAAACAAGCATTTTGTAAAAAATTAACAACAAATTTACCTTAACAGGCATATGTATCCCTTGTATGTCCAGTGCCTCGGACATCAGACAAGTGACGATGGCAGTACTGCGACGGTAGTGACATCGCAACATGTGTACTACTCTGATGGCAAACCTGTTGCTGGGGTTCATCCATGCGTTGATGGCCGGAGAAGCAGTACTCAGAAGGTTCCAGTCAAGCCTATAAACAAATAACAAATGCCTTTATTTGCAAGTGAGTTTCATTTTAAAATGTTTTTAAAATTGATAAACGTCCACATTAAAATTCAACCCAGTTCAAAAGTTACATATTGACCATTACGAGAATAGTTACAAAATCAACTATACATTTTTTTTTCATTGTGATGAAAGTGGTCAATGAGAGTTCTACGAAAACAGATCTTCTTCTTGTACAGTACTTAGGTCTCTAGCTGAGGTACCGACACCCCAGGTATGAAAAAAATACCCCCGCCGCAGAAAACCTGCAGACTTAGCGAATTTCCATTTGCCTGATTGGATTTACACTAAAATGTCTCCTTAAAAATATCACATTTCCACATTTGTTCCCTATTTAAATAGAATTAGTGTAACGAGTACTTAGGTTTGCTGCAACAGGGAGGGTAAAAGTTTTTTTTTAAATGTAAAATGTTAAAAGGTACTGTAGTTTAGTAAGAAATTAATGTATTTTCCATATTTTATCAAAATATGTTCATAAACAAGCAAACTACAACAGTTGACTTATTCTCCATAAGAATAACATGGAAATTTTAAATTTACAATTTTTTGGAATTTTCTCCGTAACTATTAGGCGCATTATAACGCTTCAATATACTAAATTATTTGTTTTTTTAAGCTCTACAAAATAGTTTAGAAAGAAATTGCAAAATTTTATGTTTTTTGGGTCAAAAATGGGAAAAACCCATTTTTACCCCATAAAAGCCCTCATAAACCCCCGTTCCCATGGTCCGATCATGCTGGTTCGCGAACTCGTTCGAATAAACGTAGGTTTACACGTTTGTACCGAATTTCATCAAAATCGGATAATTTTTGCTTGAGTTATCGCGCTAACGGACACATATATATATATATATATATACTAGCAGAGTACCCGTCCTTCGTACGGGGTTGGCATATAAGTATCAAATGCTTATAGCAGTTATGAGTAAGGACATGGTTTAAGAAATTTCGGTTCTTTTTGAAGTTCGTTCGCTACGCTCACTCACCTTTAGGTTGGAGCTCGTTCGCTGTGCTCACTTTCCTTCAGGTTAGCTCTTTCGCTACGCTCACTTGCCTTCAGGTTAGCTCGTTCGCTACGCTCACTCGCCTCCAGGTTGAAGTTCGTTCGCTACGCTCACTCACCTTTTGGTTGCAAATTAGCTGTTGTCATAAATGTAAAAGAAATAATAGTGCTGCACCCTGTTGGTAATCCTTGTAACTTTAATGCTATTGAAAATCATAGAACAGAACCAACTTGTTTAATTGAAACAGCTGTTAAGATTCATTAATTCCATTTCTCATAAGGTTAACATGGGAACCTTTGCTCCAGAGCCACTGGGGCGGAGCCCGGAAGGATTTTTGGGATAAAAATATGCCTATATGTTAATCGGGAATATGAGCTATCATCATGCCGAATTTCAGCCCGATCCGACCAGTAGTTTTCGCGTTTACTTTTCCCATACACACAGACACCACCTCTTTTTTATAATAGTATAGATAGATATATGAATTTGAACGGATGGTGTTTTTGGCCTCTAGGGACCTCAAAACGAAAAAAAAAATCGGTCCCGGGTCCAGGTCTTACCATGAGTACTATGGTAATAGCTTATTCCCTTTATGAGAAATTCGCTAAAAACACAATACCACAGCTCATTCCATATTTATTTTAAATAGCTGGGGTTCTGATTGGTTAAAGTGCTTGCATAGTAATCAAAAGGTTGCCGTTTCGAAAAGTCAGCTTTTTGATTGTTCAAGACTGGACCTAGCTGCTTTAGATCATTGGGTTCTTAATAAATGGTCCTGGATACAAAAGAGTAGGTCTAAATCAGTAACAGAACTAGACAGATAATCTTGCTCCATAACACATTCGCCCTGAATTCATTTTCATCTTGAAATATGTACCAAAGAGTGTGTCCTTGTAATAAAGAATTGAATCAAATTTACCTTGTTCCTTAATAATTACCTTGTGTAGTCTATTTTTCGGGTGATGGGTGCTCGAGGAGGGGCAGCAAAGTTAAACCAAACTTGTTTCACTTCAATAACACAAGAAGATGCGTTTCCATCTTTCCCCCTGAGAGCAACAATGTTGGTCTGGGAAGCGCTGCAAAATAATTTAAAACATGTGAAAAAAACAAAAAATAATTTTAAATACAGACACACCTTGGTGGCATGCAAAATTTGTACAGTTCAGAGTTCTTCATTCTGACCTTGTATTACTAATGGTGCATCATCCTACATGGCCTTCCTTATTCTATTATTCGAGTGAAACTACTTGAACTGATTATAATATGAAATAATATTAATTTTATACCAAAGACCAACCTTGCAGCAGGGTCTGAAGATGCTTCAGGTTGATTGGCGTCTGTTCCATTGGTTGGAGCATTGCTTGGAGTGTCTTGATGAGAAGTGGCTGTAACAATAATCAAACAATTGTAAACCGTAGTCGCTTTTGGTGATGCAAGTTGTAAAAATATATTCTTAATAGTCTTGAATGTTACCTATTGTACTAGTAAACTAGTATTAAGAATGAATAAAACTATTTGAACTAAGATACAATTTCTTGAGTGCAGTAATTTAAGAATGATATGAGAATTGTTTTGACAAACTTCAGAAAGAAAAAGTTTAAAATAGTTTAACAATCAAATTAATGTAAAAAGCTTGTATAAAAGTGAATAAAAAATAATAAATTCCTTCCCTGAAGTGTACCACAAAGAAAACTTGCTTATGGAACAACCGCCTGCTTTCCGTGGTTGTTTGTGTATATCAAATGAATTACGACCAAATAAGTAAAAGAAAAGTAGTTTAATAAGAGAGTTAAATTTTTGTGTTCAATCCTGAGAAAAACAAAAACCAGACTAAATCATAATTCATTGCTATGACAACGTCATCAGCTGACGCTACACCAGCCCCCCACTGAGAAAAGGAATCTATACATCATTCTGAAAAGTAACCCGTGGTCGGATCTCTTAGTATGGTACGCTAGAATGTGGAAATATACTTGTGATGAGCAAGGAAGAGCTTGGGTGAGCGAGCACTGTGCGGAATTTTCTAACGCACAAGTTCTTCCTCCACAGTAATTGTTGCAGTACATGAGGGCAAGGGGGGTGGACTTTTCCCTAGACACCAGCACTAGTTTTAGACCATTTACGGTACCATTGAATGTTTCCTCTGTACCTTACTTCTCTGAGTTTACTAAACAAACAATAAATTTCAGCAGCTGTATTATCACTACTGTATTGTCCCTGTTACTGTACTGTATTGTCTGTGTTAGCTGGGACACTAAAATTTACTTACACAAAGTTGCATGACCTAACCCTACCTTTGTCGTCTGCCTTGACCGAGGTAGACTTGCCAGTCTCATTAACCACAGTCACTTCTATCTCCTCCTTGGATCTCACGGAGTCAGTGTAGTTTGTCTCATTCTCCCCGGGAAGAGGTTTCACTTCATCCTCCTCTTTGTCAAACTTTGACCTCTTCACGACCTGAAGAGTAAAAAGAATATTTACAATATGTTTAGTATATAAATTGTAAAAATAAATAAATTTAAATTAAACAAAAAAATATTCTTGTACTCTACATCAATTTTAGATTTTTTTTTTTTTTTTAATCAGCTGGAAAAAACACACTGCATTATGGGTACTGAAAAAAATAAAAAATCCATGGGTGAATCAATGAAATGGAAAAGTTACTTTATTTGCAAAATAAACAAAGAGATATTGGTATTGCTTAGCACTAAAATAAAAGTTACAAAAATTCATTAAATTCAAATTCCAATTATATATTAATAATTCAGAGCAATTAAACAAAAACTTTACAAAAGTAACTGTTTTTACCTTGAATGAAACACCTTCAAGACCACACTCGAACATGATGAAGCCTAACTTGTCTTCGGGAAGGCTGACTAGGGAAGGTTCATCACTGTTGTGCTGTAGGAGAAAATGAAATTAGGTTACATACAAATTACAAACCAAACAAAAATTCAAATTTTATTTCAATACATAAACAAAAAATATTAACCTAATCAAAAATGCTACAAATACATTTGCAGTTGGATTTGAGGTGTTAGCTTTAGCTTTATGTTAAACTAGGGAACACTGGTACAATGGTATCAATTATCAAGGTAAAAAAATTAATTGTGCAATATTGCCCAAGAACCTTCTAAAACCGGCCCTCAAAGAAAAACTACCTTAGCTGAAATTCTATTCCATAAATCATAAATTTGAAGCATAAATTATTTGTACTGCTAATGCACTTTTATGGGTTGCACTTTTATGGGTTGCACTTTTAGCTTGAGTTAGTTTTATAATTTTTCAGTCGAGTTACAACAATGTTTTTTCTGAAAATAATTTTATTCAATACTATGAGTTTGGTTTACATTTTTTCGGATACTAGACTGTCCTCACCATCGCTAACATTCAAAATTCATAAACACTATTGTTACACTTAAATTATGATAATTGGCAATAGAAAGTTTTTACAAGATTATACAACTTTAGTTCCCACTAAACACATCAATAACTACATTAAATAGACCTATTTGAACAATTTAAAAAAGTGAAAGATGATTATAAGGAGAATAAGTGGTATACATCCCATTCCTATATAAAATTAGTAGCTTTTTTTCAAATTTAAATGCCACCAACTAAGTAAGCTGCAGTCAAGTATGATCGCTGATTCTATCGTACACATAGACTTTTGACTAGGTAATATGAAAAAGCCAACATACAATACAATAGACTATTACATATTTTATAGCACATAAATTATTCAAGAGTGGAAAACCAAGTGAGAAAATACAATTTTTACCTTAGCACACTCTTAGCACCTTAGCAATTTCGACCTTTTGGTGAGTAACTCAAATATTTTTATTAATAAAAATCACGTGTTCATATAGATGGGATCTCTACCCCTAGAATCCTCAAGTCAGTGGGGGTCGCCGGAATTTTACCCCCCGGAATTTTACCCCCTGGCCGATTTTAGAAATTGAATGATTGATTTTCTTATTTCTGTTTTTAATTAATTGTAAACATTTCATTATTTAGTAGCCTATCTTTATTTATTTATTTTGTAAAGAAATGTTTGAAACAATTATCATTCAGTTGATTGTTTATACGCCATATTAACCAACTGTTGGCTTCAAATATCGAATCCTAATACTAGAATCTCAAAATTAAAATTAACAACTTGTTCGATTAGTTAATGTTACAAAAAACAAATTAATATACAGTAGGCTACTTAATAATGAAATGTTTACTATTAAATTAAAACAGAATGAAGATAATTAATCATTCTCACTAATTTATATATCTGGCCAGGGGGTAAAATTCCGGGGGTAAAATTCCGCGGGTAAAAATCTGGGGGGTAAAATTCCGGGGGTAAAAATCCGGAGGTAAAAATCCGGGGGTAAAATTCCGGGGGGTAAAATTCCGGGGGTAAAAATCCGGGCCGTACACTATAAGTTTTTATAATTATATGTGTTCTGATTAAATTCACAACCGTGAAAATATATGTTTAATTCCGTGTTTAATCCATCGAGCTGATGTCGCAAAACTCAAAAGTTCGCGGCCGGAATTTTACCCCCTGGTTTGTGAAGTCACGTTGCCCAGGGAGTAAAATTCCAGGGGGATAAAAATCCGCTACCCCGTCAGTGGTATATATCTGTACAAAATACAGTAAGATATTAAGTAAACTGACCGTGTTGTTGTCTGAATTGTCCGCAGCAACGATGCGTGACTGCGGAGGCGTGTTGACCTGAGTGCAAGTTGTGAACATCACACGAGAACAATGACTCGGGATAGCAGTGATCACTGCGTCTTTCAGAATAGTGCTCTCGTTCCGCAGACGACGCAACTGTGTGTGGATCTTGTCTGGGGACAAACAGATGTTACATTAAACTATTACTAATGATAAATATTTTCAAATTTACCCTAGGAATTTAAACAGGATGCTTAAGAATTTCTCATAAATTACACTATTATCAGTACTTTCCATTATGCAAACCCCACCAGGTTAAATTAAGTTATAGGTCTACATTAAAAATACTAAATATTTTATTGAAAAAAATTGGTTACTTAACCTAACCTGGTGTGGTCAGTATTATAGAAAAGTACCCTATTTTCTTATAATCATAAGTTGTTTTCCTAACTTTATCAATATTTTGACACTGAAACCATCCAAACCTTAGTCTCATTTATACTTAAAGTCAACCTGGGAAAGCAGTAAGGCCACAATATAATTTTTCAGCAACCCATTTACACCAGAGTACAATAAAGAGTGCACTAACAGAAGTAGCCATTTCTGACAGGTGATTTTTAAACCCATCAGTTAATCAAAATGTTTGGTCCGGAGACCCACATCTATCTTAGATTTCATAACGTGACTTACAAGTAAAATAATATAAATATTTATTAATTAATATTTTTTAATAATATTTGGTGGGTGAGTCAAGGGCTTAGTCGGTAGCGTGACAGACTTTAGATCCATGGCAGCAATATTGTGGGTGTCGAATTCCAATACCTGCCACTTAATTTTATTAGTACACTTAAACTCTTGTCCTATACCAGCTTACTCCTTCTTTGTTTGATATGCAAAGGCCGGAGGCCAATGTTGACATGCAAATGCAAGGTTAAAAGAGGATGCAAACCTCTTTAAATAAAAACCAAGCAAAGCAAGGGATGAAATACAGATTTTAGTTGCCACACTGGGACACTCCACATTTCCTTGGATATCAAATTCATCAAGCTACCAATTGAAATAAAAAGTAGTATAATATTTGGTATCAAAATACAACCAACACAATTTTCATCTGAATATCGATGAGTATAAGTTACGGAACACTCACTGATTCTCAGCATCAGTACACTCTCCTCCTGCTGTTTCTCGGATGTCTCAATGTACACAGGTTCTCCAGTAACCACATCAGTGACAGCCGCCGTCTGATGACCGAGAAGGAACGCCTTGCCTCCGCGGGCAAACAAGCCTTTTTTCTGACCACTGGGCAACACTGTAGGTCTATGGAACGTCTGCACCACCTCCCTCGCCTACAACAAAACACTCAGTATTAATGGTGAATCTGTATGGCTCAGGAGAACTTCTTTAGAATATTCACTCCTCCTTCCCCCGATAACAGGTCAGGTATAAGGGCGCTGTTATGAGGCTGGAAAAACTCTCCTGGGGGAGAAAATCGTCTCAAAAACTTTGTTATTCAAGTAATTTTCCCTACAACTAAAAAAGTGTTCATCCCTTAGGTGAGAAAGAACTAAAAAGAAAACAAGAATAGAACACAAACCCAGCCAAATTTGGAAAATCTCAAAATAACCACACATAACTTGATTAAATAAGTGTGATTAATCGCCATTCAATACAAAAGATAATGAATATGAATGACACCACACTTTTATTCTAAAATCAGTAAACTTTCTAACTAAAGTACTGTATAAGAGATGCAGAGTTTAATTTTGGTGAGTGTTAGTGAGTTAAAATTCATACTTAGGTGGTCATTCAAACCCGTTCAAACCTAACTGATCCAAACAAATGGAAGACTGTACTTCAATCAAGTTTCACACCCTCTGACATTATTATTAACTCAACAACAATATCTGCTAAGTTGTAAAATGTCGACTATACAAACCTGTTTTCCGCAGTGGAACCTCGCAGTAACTCCCTCCACAGACACAGCCAGTAGAGATACACAGGTCAAGTCTCGCAGATTGTCTAGAGCTGAGAATGATATCACTTCCTCCACCACACTGGCCTGTAGTAGGGCAAAGTTGATCTGAAACAGGACAAACCATCAGAACAGCTGTTTGCCACAGTGGAACCTCACAGTAACTCCCTCCACTGACACGGCCAGTAGAGATACACAGGTCAAGTCTCGCAGATTGTCTAGAGCTGAGAATGATATCACTTCCTCCACCACACTGGCCTGTAGTAGGGCAAAGTTGATCTGAAACAAGACAAACCATCAAAACAGCTGTTTGCCACAGTGGAACCTCACAGTAACTCCCTCCACTGACACGGCCAGTAGAGATACACAGGTCAAGTCTCGCAGATTGTCTAGAGCTGAGAAAGATATCACTTCCTCCACCACACTGGCCTGTAGTAGGGCAAAGTTGATCTGAAACAAGACAAACCATCAAAACAGCTGTTTGCCACAGTGGAACCTCGCAGTAACTCCCTCCACTGACACGGCCAGTAGAGATACACAGGTCAAGTCTCGCAGATTGTCTAGAGCAGAGAATGATATCACTTCCTCCACCACACTGGCCTGTAGTAGGGCAAAGTTGATCTGAAACAAGACAAACCATCAAAACAGCTGTTTGCCACAGTGGAACCTCACAGTAACTCCCTCCACTGACACGGCCAGTAGAGATACACAAGTCAAGTCTCGCAGATTGTCTAGAGCAGAGAATGATATCACTTCCTCCACCACACTGGCCTGTAGTAGGGCAAAGTTGATCTGAAACAGGACAAACCATCAAAACAGCTGTTTGCCACGGTTGAACCTCCACAGTAACTCCCTCCACTGACATAGCCAGTAGAGATACACAGGTCAAGTCTCGCAGATTGTCTAGAGCAGAGAATGATATCACTTCCTCCACCACACTGGCCTGTAGTAGGGCAAAGTTGATCTGCAACAGGACAAACCATCAAAACAGCTGTTTCCCACGGTGGAACCTCACAGTGACTCCCTCCACTGACACGGCCAGTAGAGATACACAGGTCAAGTCTCGCAGATTGTCTAGAGCAGAGAAAGATATCACTTCCTCCACCACACTGGCCTGTAGTAGGGCAAAGTTGATCTGAAACAAGACAAACCATCAAAACAGCTGTTTGCCACAGTGGAACCTCGCAGTAACTCCCTCCACTGACACGGCCAGTAGAGATACACAGGTCAAGTCTCGCAGATTGTCTAGAGCAGAGAATGATATCACTTCCTCCACCACACTGGCCTGTAGTAGGGCAAAGTTGATCTGAAACAGGACAAACCATCAAAACAGCTGTTTCCCACGGTGGAACCTCACAGTAACTCCCTCCACAGACACGGCCAGTAGAGATACACAGGTCAAGTCTCGCAGATTGTCTAGAGCAGAGAATGATATCACTTCCTCCACCACACTGGCCTGTAGTAGGGCAAAGTTGATCTGAAACAAGACAAAACATCAAAACAGCTGTTTCCCATGGTGGAACCTCGCAGTAACTCCCTCCACTGACACAGCCAGTAGAGATACACAGGTCAAGTCTCGCAGATTGTCTAGAGCAGAGAAAGATATCACTTCCTCCACCACACTGGCCTGTAGTAGGGCAAAGTTGATCTGAAACAGGACAAACCATCAAAACAGCTGTTTCCCACGGTGGAACCTCACAGTAACTCCCTCCACAGACACGGCCAGTAGAGATACACAGGTCAAGTCTCGCAGATTGTCTAGAGCAGAGAATGATATCACTTCCTCCACCACACTGGCCTGTAGTAGGGCAAAGTTGATCTGAAACAGGACAAACCATCAAAACAGCTGTTTGCCACGGTTGAACCTCCACAGTAACTCCCTCCACTGACATAGCCAGTAGAGATACACAGGTCAAGTCTCGCAGATTGTCTAGAGCAGAGAAAGATATCACTTCCTCCACCACACTGGCCTGTAGTAGGGCAAAGTTGATCTGAAACAGGACAAACCATCAAAACAGCTGTTTGCCACAGTGGAACCTCACAGTAACTCCCTCCACTGACACGGCCAGTAGAGATACACAGGTCAAGTCTCGCAGATTGTCTAGAGCAGAGAATGATATCACTTCCTCCACCACACTGGCCTGTAGTAGGGCAAAGTTGATCTGAAACAAGACAAAACACCAAAACAGCTGTTTCCCATGGTGGAACCTCGCAGTAACTCCCTCCACTGACACGGCCAGTAGAGATACACAGGTCAAGTCTCGCAGATTGTCTAGAGCAGAGAAAGATATCACTTCCTCCACCACACTGGCCTGTAGTAGGGCAAAGTTGATCTGCAACAGGACAAACCATCAAAACAGCTGTTTGCCACAGTGGAACCTAGCGGTAACTCCCTCCACTGACACGGCCAGTAGAGATACACAGGTCAAGTCTCGCAGATTGTCTAGAGCAGAGAAAGATATCATTTCCTCCACCACACTGGCCTGTAGTAGGGCAAAGTTGATCTGAAACAAGACAAACCATCAAAACAGCTGTTTGCCACAGTGGAACCTAGCGGTAACTCCCTCCACTGACACGGCCAGTAGAGATACACAGGTCAAGTCTCGCAGATTGTCTAGAGCAGAGAAAGATATCACTTCCTCCACCACACTGGCCTGTAGTAGGGCAAAGTTGATCTGAAACAAGACAAACCATCAAAACAGCTGTTTGCCACAGTGGAACCTAGCGGTAACTCCCTCCACTGACACGGCCAGTAGAGATACACAGGTCAAGTCTCGCAGATTGTCTAGAGCAGAGAATGATATCACTTCCTCCACCACACTGGCCTGTAGTAGGGCAAAGTTGATCTGAAACAAGACAAACCATCAAAACAGCTGTTTACCACAGTGGAACCTAGCGGTAACTCCCTCCACTGACACGGCCAGTAGAGATACACAGGTCAAGTCTCGCAGATTGTCTAGAGCAGAGAATGATATCACTTCCTCCACCACACTGGCCTGTAGTAGGGCAAAGTTGATCTGAAACAGGACAAACCATCAAAACAGCTGTTTGCCACAGTGGAACCTCACAGTAACTCCCTCCACTGACACGGCCAGTAGAGATACACAGGTCAAGTCTCGCAGATTGTCTAGAGCAGAGAAAGATATCACTTCCTCCACCACACTGGCCTGTAGTAGGGCAAAGTTGATCTGAAACAGGACAAACCATCAAAACAGCTGTTTGCCTCAGTGGAACCTCGCAGTAACTCCCTCCACTGACACGGCCAGTAGAGATACACAGGTCAAGTCTCGCAGATTGTCTAGAGCAGAGAATGATATCACTTCCTCCACCACACTGGCCTGTAGTAGGGCAAAGTTGATCTGAAACAGGACAAACCATCAAAACAGCTGTTTCCCACAGTGGAACCTCACAGTAACTGTTACAGAAATCCCTGGAGGGTAGCGAGCTGGTCTAGTGGTTAAGCACGGAACTTTGGTCTGAAGGTCACAGGGTTCAAATCCTACCATATCACCAATGGATTTTATTGAAGTAATAATCCCAAAACCCTCTAGGCCTAACCTGAAGTAATATGTCAAACAGTTCCAGGCTTAGAACTTAATCTTAAAAATCTATACACAAAAATACACACTCAACTCACCTTAGGCAGTATCACAGTGCCCTGGACCTGCGTAGCTATACACTCCTCGTAAATGTTGAGAGGCTGTGCTGCGTCCGCAGACTTCGTCCGCTCTGCAGTGCTGCGTTTACTACCTCCACCAGTCAGCTGACTGAGGTACTGGTCACGCTTCAACACGTTGGCAGCCTCGACCCGCGAGACACAGTTGAGGTGGAGATGGTTCAAAACGCTCAGTGTATGTAGGGACGTGAGAGTTGAAGTCAGTACATCTACAAACCTGAAACGTCAATTTGGTGAGCATTTCACACAATCATGGTAACATCCAAGGAGATTTCTTGCAATCCCAGAAGCCTAACTCAATTACTATACAATTTCTTGTGACTTCTGCAAGCACAATTTTCTGACATAACATGACAAAAAAAGTGATTATCTGCAAATTTGACAAACGAATATTCAAAGTAAACAATATTTATTTACAGTTTCCAGTTTTTCCAGTTTACAGGTTGGTTGCACACCCTGCGTACATCTTTTTTTTTCGGGGGGGGGGGGGGGGGGGGGTATTCATTTACCCCTAGCTACTTCGGCCTGCTGACCTATTGTAGCACCCCTCAAATCAGTCTGACAACCCTAGGCTTCTTGCATAGCCTAGGAGCTGTGAGACGCCCAGTTTCCTCATCTCTGTAGGTTTCAATTGCAGCCTTCCCAGAGATGTCATCCTTTTTTTTTGGACCAACGCCGGACAATCCAGCAATAAGTGTTCAAAGGTTTCCATCTCGTTTTCGCAGAACCTGCATTGGTTTGTCTGTGACCTCCCTATGGTTATAAGGTGTTTCCTAATAGGTCCATGGCCAGTTGGCATCCCTACTAGTAATCTGACGTCCCCCCTTTTTAGGCTCAATACACCTTTTAGTACAACTTACAATGATTCCAACCACCAGCGCAATGCATGTTATTACATTTTTTAAGTCGGGATTCAAATCATTTAAGTGTTTTCACTGCATAAGAATAAGTAACTGAATTTCATAAATTACAAACAAAACAAAAAATAAATGTATTCCTGTTTAACAAATCATAAAGAAACTTCCAGATGACAAGATAACCTACCTCTGAAGAGATTCTAGCACCAATGGACTAACCATGATGTCAATGTCTCCTTTCATTTTGACAACCAGAGTAGTTCTTGTGCCACTCTCATTGCGCAGGGATAGCAGTTCTTCTTGCACACCTGGTGGAAAAACGCAATGTTAGTGACCAACCAAAAATGTATCTTAAGTTAAAAAACTTTGTAAAAAGGTAGACCATTTAAATAATTGATGAAACGTTAAGAGCATAGCTTGAGTTGCGGCTGGTATAGTACTGTTCCATTATAATTCCATGCTGGTGGACTTAAGTTTAAATCCTACCATTCAATCAATTGGACCTTAAATCATGACTACAACATGATTTCCCAAAGCCACTCACCTGCTTCTAGAGCCTCATCGGTATCATTGCATATGAGGTCGACCTGTTCCCAGTTGTAAGGGTGGGTCGGTGTCTTGGTAGAGGGGGGAGCTGGAGACGCTGTTTCTTTCTCTCTCCCAACCATCTTGAGGGATGTGAAACCTTCCACCAACGTCTCAAACCTTGGGGTGTACTTGCTCCCTGGAGAAGTGTGAGGAATAAATTAAGGATTGTGTTCTTTTATAGAAACTCTTAGAAAGATGTCTTCTGGTACAAAATAAAAATAAAATAAAATTGCAGTTTGTTTCAAGATATGTATAAAACCGTGATTACTAATAACTTGAGTCTGCTACCAAACCCTCAATACACTGGAGTTTACATTTACATACCGTTTTCATGTTTGTATTGTGCCTGTTTTAATTAAGTTACAAGCTTTGAAAATGTTATTTGTTTTCACACAAAAATGTATAACATCAAGTACTCTATTAAATTGTAAGACTATTTGACGGAGGCAAAATAAAACTCATTTCTATCTTAACAAAACAGTTGGCTATGGGAGCCAGAGACATGCATCTTGATTTTTTATACAAATTAAAGTACAATGTCCCGATAATCCGAACTTTGGTAATTCGAAAGTCTGCTTAATCCGAAACCGAAAAATATATTTTTTTAATTTTTTAATAAACTAAAATTTAATTTTTTTTTACTAAACTTTTAACACAGTTAGCTGTACCTTGTCAAAGTATTCTGTAGCGGCCGGGCGAGATAGACTTTTTTTAGAGTATTTTAGTAAATATTTCACAATTTTTGTTATTAACATTTTTCATTTTCGTCCCGGGTTCCAATCCCGCCAAATCACAAATGGATTTTATCAAGCAATAATGCTCTAGCTTAAGTAATGTGAAAAACAATCCCGGGCTCGTGCCTAGCGTAAAGCAAAATCTAAAAAAATTGCAAACATGTTTAAAAAAATTTTTTTTAACAAAAAAAACTTTTAGGCTAATCCGAAATATTTAGTAATCCAAAATGGGTCCGGTCCCAACCATTTCGGACTAACGGGACTCTACTGTAGTACCATTGACCTTTGAACTTTGAAGTCGATATCCCATCTATATAACCGACCAGTTGAAGCAAATTTTTTATTTGAAAATAATATATCCTTATTTATTACCAATTAATATGGACACACCATATTAACCACCATATTAACACCATATTATTAGGTGCGTATTTTAACCCAAATGATGTAGAATGAAGTGAGAAGCCTTTTTTAGCTTTGTTACTCACTAAGACCAGCTGTTTCATAAGCCAGTGCCATTTATTGGTACATAAAAAAACGCATGGTAATAAATAGGGATGGACGGGTCCCGAAATTTCGGGAATTTTTCGGGAAAAAAATATTCCCGATTATCGGGACGGGATTAAATTTGACTCGGGAATTTTTCGGGACGGGATTTGGTCCGATCGTCGGCGATTTTTCGCTTCGCGAGTGCCGATAACGCCGTTATTGCGAGCGATAGGTCCGCGAACGCAGAAGACGAAGTCATACCGACGATCGCGCCGTGACCGCGGAGTCCTACCGACGATCGCGCCGTGACCGCGAGTCATACCGACGATCGCGCCGTGACCGCGAGTCATGAGATCGCGCCGTGACCGCGGAGTCATGCTGACGATCGAGCCGTGATCGCGAGTCATACCGACGATCGCGCCGTGACCGCAAGTCATACCGACGATCATGCCGTGACCGCGAGTCATGACGACGATCGCGCCGTGATTGCGGAGTCATACTGACGATCGAGCCGTGATCGCGAGTCATACCGACGATCGCGCCGTGACCGCGAGTCATACCGACGATAACCCCGTGACCGCGGAGTCATACCGACGTTCGCGCCGTGACCGCGAGTCATACCGACGATAGCGCTGTGACCGCGAGTCATACCGACGATCGCGCCGTGACCGCGAGTCATGGCGACGAAAGCGCCGTGACCGCGGAGTCATGCTGACGATCGAGCCGTGTTCGCGAGTCATACCGACGATCATGCCGTGACCGCGAGTCATACCGACGATAACCCCGTGACCGCGGAGTCATACCGACGATCGCGCCGTGACCGCGGAGTCCTACCGACGATCGCGCCGTGACCGTGAGTCATGACGACGATCGCGTCGTGACCGCGAGTCATACCGACGATCGCGCCGTGATCGCGAGTCATGACGACGATCTCGCCGTGACCGTGAGTCATACAGACGATCACCCCGTGACCCGCGAGTCACAAGTTACTATAGGTACCTGTAAATTGTTACCCATTTTTTGGTTTTTATAGATCAGTGCCACAAATGGTAAAAATTGATTTCGTATGTCTTTTTTGGTAACTGCAATACAGTACTTTCTTTTTATGCACAGAAAAAAATCCCGTCCCGTCCCGTCCCGAAAATTGGGAAGGAAATAAAAATCCCGTCCCGTCCCGTCCCGAACTAAAAATTCAATCCCGTCCATCCCTAGTAATAAATCAATAATCGCTGGTTAAATAATGTTATATTTTACAAGGTAGGTGAACTAGAAACAAAATACCACTCACCAATGTAGACAAGTCTTCCTTCATTGGTCCTTTGGAACAGAGGGACAGTGAACGCATCTGAACCCTGTGGTAGGGAGGACTGAGCCCAGTTGGTGCAATTGACCTGTAACAGTTTATAAAAGTTGTATTTTATTGTATAGCCTGATGCATTTTATATTTAATTTTTCTGTACTTCTTTGTGTTTTGAATGTTAAAAGAAATTTGACAAATCAATGAATTATTACTAGTCTAAACTTCAAAATAAACTGGTTTGTTATCTGTATGTTGTACTTAACCTAATTTTTTGCGATTTTTTAATGTGTTATTAACCTGTGGGCTCTAATTTCAACTGAACTCCACTCTTTTTCAAAATACCAATATTTTACTTTTTATTTATCTATTGATCTAACCTGGGACAGATGATTGACGTAGCTCGACATCAGCAGTGGTGACTCCACGATGGGTTTGTTGACTTGCATGTGTAGATTGACTAGAGCAAGATCCTCCTGTGACGACACTGCAGATATGAACGATGTGCTGGATACAGAGTGGGTGTCTGACGAGTCCAGTAGCATAGCGGAGGCCTCCTGTAAACACAAGTGAGATTTAGATGTGTGATGAGTAAAGAAGTAATCAAGGTCGTTGATAAGTAGAGCAAGTTAAATGATGAATAATCAAGTGAGTAGAGCTGATGTCTCCAGCCTACGGCCTGCGGAGACACTCGTCACTGATAAGATTTCATTCACTACGTAAAAGTGAACCAATGGAACATTGTCAATGGAGGTTAGCCACAGGAATTGAATGAACTCTCAGCCCGTACCAGATTCAAGTCAAATTCACTGTCAACCAAACTCACGTAGAATTCCCAGTCTCCAGGTCAGTAGTGGTGACCTGGTGGAAACGCGCGTAACAGCTGTCGGGCAGATGTTAGCAGATGTTACAAAGTTAATTAGTTTAAAGGGCATAAGGCGGAAATGACGTAAAAATCCGGAAATGGCGTTCGATTTGAGCTGACGTCACGATGGATGATCATATGATGTTCAAGGTCATTTGTTTGTGTTTTAAAAAAGGAAGCTACCCTACAACACTTATAGTGTAGGATAGCTTCCTTGTTTTGTTTATTGTTTATTTGTATAAAACATGAGGAATGACAATAACTTACATACTATTACAATTAATAAGGAAAACATGTGCGAACGTACGTATCTAGAGTGAGCGTCTGCTAAAGTGTAAAACGAATGAGTTTATTGGTGGCCTTTATAAAGGCCGTTTTGTGTAGCTCGGCGACGCTTGTGTATTTGGATGTTTACTTCTTCAACTCCTCTATTGTATTATGGAGCTCTTTCCATCTTGCCATGTCTGCATTGTGCTCGGCCCATTCGATGTCGTCTCGAGGCTGAGCGCACCAAACACGATCAAATTTGCGTCGAATCTCTTTCTCCTCCTCTAGCAGTTGAAGTAGTTTTTCTTCCTTTCGTTTTCGCTCCTGCTCTTCTGCCTCGATGCATGCTTGGTGTAGGTCAGAGTCTTCAATATCGCTTTTCCACTGTTGTTGTTGTCGTTGTTGTTGGTTGGCCATCTTGTGCAAAGTAAACGAGAGAGGTTGAGTTGACTGGTGAAGAGCTGGATGCGAAGTGACTGTTGCGAGTAAAGAAGTGCAGGTCCCTGACGAAGTGGGCGGAGCTAAAGCAGTAGGGGTGGGGGAAAGTAGTAGAGGTGGGGGAGAGCAACATGAGGGCATCATTCCATCCGTTTTAAAAGTATTTTGATTCTACGTCCCTTGTCTTGTGAGTGATGTTTCAGTTTTTCTTGATACGTTTTACAATTACATTGACAATAGGAGAAAGATTCACATTTTTTACAAGCCATTCCATCTACTTGACATTCAGGTGTTTTGAAACACTTAAGATTACAACAATAGTATTTTAAATCGTATTCCGATTTGTGATCAAAAGATGAATTGGAATTACACTGTGACATGTTGCTCGACTGAATTCTAAAACAAGAATGAGAAGCAATGTGTTGTGAGCTTCTATTTATAGTGCAAGAGTCAGCAGCTCTCACAAGTTAGTCTACATTTTTCCATAGTAGGTTAACCATTTGTGTTAGATCGTGTATGTAATTTTGATGCTTGTCTTGATATGTTTTACACCTACATTTGCAATAGCCAACAGACTCACATTTTTTACAAGCTTTTCCATCAACTTTACTTTCAGGCTTTCTAAAACATTTTAAATTACAACAATAGTTATCCAAATCGTATTTGGATTTGTAAACAAAAGGTAAATTGTATTTACGCTGTGACATGATGCTCGGTGAATTGTTAAAACAAGACTGAGAGCAACTGCGTGTAAGACCTGTTATTTATAGTAAAAAAGTTCAAGGTCATTTGTTTGAATTTTAAAAAAAGAAACAACATATCAGCATATAGAATTAATTATATGCTGATATGTTGTTTCCTCTTTTAATTTTTTATTTATTTTTTTTAATGACAAAAACATTTAACAAACATATGTACATAGATGGTTATTTACAGAAAAAAACTTAAAACTAACATTGATGGGTGATGTGTAGAGATAGTTCAGTGGAATTGTTTCCGCAAACTCCGTGTGATACCAAATAGAGGGATCCTGGTTGAATACCTCGCAGGTCTTCGTTTTGTAGTTGCTGTACAAATCGTCTTGGAAGATAAACTTGAAATTTCGGTTCATCACCTGGTGAAAACGGTGCCTCGCTCAGTGATGCTAAAATTGCGTCTCCATGTGAAGTTTCTGTCTTCTTCAGCTCGTGAACGATGTAGTGTTTGTGTTCCTTCAATTCGTGACATTTCTTAGTACTTAGAATGCTGGATTTGGACTGGGTGTTGAACTGATCCACCAAAGACTGGAGAAACTGTTGTGAAGCCATTTTCTTGATTAGGACTACCCTGTGAGATGTTGCCTCTGCGATGTCTGGAGTAATACTGATGAGGATCCTGAGACTGTCCACTGTATTTATAGCACACGTTCCCCCCTCCACTGCTATTTCCTTCGTAATACTTCCACTGTTGCTGTTTGAATTTATTTTTGTCCCAATAGTGAAGAACTAGAAAATTAGCTAATCGGTATGCGTTTTGTAGTGCACATTGTGTTACTGTGCGATAAGAGTGATCTGTTAAAGTACAAATAGGTCCATAATTAATTTGATGATCCTTGTCCATTCTTATGTCGAAAACATCGTGATATGTATATTGTTGTATCCATTGTCTTTTTTCCGATCCTCTTGTATAAATATGGGAAAACTTGTTAGAAAAATGATACATGATATTGTTCAAGTGCTTATAGCTTATCAATCCTTCGTTCCACTGAATATGGTGAAAATGTTTGGTTATCCATTTGTTTGTTCTTCTTGCTTTGTCATTCAATTGGTTTACTGAAAATGGAGCTTCAAATATAAACGGGTATACGACATGTGTAATCAAATCTAAAATCACTAATTCTTTTATCACAAATTCATCTTTGTTATCACGAAATGCTTGAAATTCTATTACACAGGGTTTTATATCCATAATGTTTAACCCTATCTACACACCACCACGTATAGTGTTCAACTGAATTCACACCGCGCCTTGGTCACTCTTTTATACTGTTTTTCTTTAATTACACTTCTTGGGTTGCTGGTTCTTCTTGGTTTATAGTTTCATATTCTTCAACAGCTTCTATCGCTTCTATCGCTTCTTCATCAATTGATTCGAAGTTCCTTAACTGTCTCCACATACCAACTTCATGAGGCAATCTATTAAAAATAGATGTATCCACGTGTCCGTATAATATGGTGCTTTCCGGTTGTTTTTCCAGTGTATCAATTAAATACTCTTTGATGATTGAACTTGAGAATACAAGTTGTTTCATATATCTAGAGATAGGAGACGTTGCATGCATTAAAATGTAGAATTCTTCACGTGAGAGTAAAATTTTACTTTCATGTTGAGTTAAATCTCTAAATCGTACTTGTAGTGTTCCACGATTCTTTACTATGTCAATTTCATTGTCAGAATCCAAAAGTCGAATATTAGTTTTCCTTCCGCAAACATTAGTATTTAAGTAACATTCAATTAGATTTAAATGTTTTAGAAAAGATTCCCATGCCGTTTCAGAAAATATAACCATTTTTGTACCATGCTGCAAGATTACCGTAGGTGTATATTCCGAAGATTTCATTAGTCCAGCTGTTACACTTTTACCCAAACATAGTGAGATAGGATAGTAAATGCGTAGGAAAACTTCTTTCAAAATATTAATTGGGATTGTATCTTCATCTTTCCGCTTCCTTTTAGTGCCATTTTTTTTAGTTTTTTCTTCTTTTTCTTCCTTGTCCTCCTTGTCTTCTTGTTTTCGAAACTTTAAAAACTCTTCTATTTCATTGACGATTTCTTGATGGTTTTCTTGATCCAATAATGCTGCTTCCTCTGCATCCTTTTGTACGACTGATGGAGAACTCATTTTACTCATGATGTAGTGTAGGATGTTACCCATTCAACGAACGAGCAAAGACTGATTGGTGGTGTGCGAAGCTCCTCCTTTTATAGCCGACTGGTGGTTGTGGTGAAACTCATTTACAACACTGTTTTGACTAATCCCGTCAATGGTGTGTACGTTACAATTTTATCATGCAAAATTAAACAATATGCAGATGTTGCATCAGGAACGTTCTCTTCAAACTCCATTTCTATTTTTATATCCACACTTGATGACTTTACAGATTCGTTTTGTTTTGAACAATCTATTACAATTATTGGAGCTTTTGATTCGTACTGCTCGGGAGACAGTATCGGGGTGTTTGTTTTCCCGTAGTATGAACTTTGGAATCTAGCGTACATATCATACAAAACAGTGTACCTCTTCTTAGTGAAAGAAATATTAAAGTTGTCGTAAGGGAAAAATTGTGAATTAAGAAACACTTTACAATTTGTTAGTTTGCAATGATCGAAATGACCGGCATTAGCTAGTATATTATTCCTTTTTTTTGTTTGTAGTGCAAATATTACATATCTTGCTTTTTCCAAATGAGTAGATGTTTTTACAGTCCATGTATGTCTTTGTGTTTTAGGTAAAACTGGATATTCATGAAATTCCCAACTTCTGAATGGTATTACAATATCTCTATCTGATTTCAGTTGTCTCAACAGTGTTATTCTATGTTCGTCATTTAATCGCACATGTGGTACTCTCCAAACGATTTTGTCCAAAGTTAAATTCCAGTCTAAATTTGCATCAGTGGTTCCAGTTGCTGCGCAAATAGTATCCTTATCATTTGATGATCTTAATAACACTAATTCCTGTTTCACATTTATTATTACTCTTCTGTAATCTTCAGCAAAGCCTAGAAATAATTTCAATGGTATGTAGAAATCAAAGTTCCCTGCAGAATCAGGGGTGATTGTGTCGTTATCGGGTGCAACCCATCCTCCAATTCTTAACAAATTCTTCTCGTTTTGTGTCAAAGATGCTAATCCTTTTAATGTGCTTGTTAAACCTACTTTCTTTGTAGAATCCACAGTTACTCCAGATATTTCATATCTAATTTCATCAAATAAAAATGCCATTGGATTATTGATAAAAGGAACGGTGGTTCCAGCTGTTCCATCTTTTTTTGTTACTCTTCCTTCAATATATAGATAACTTTCGCACGGAAGAGTGTAAATATCCTGTTGTTGTATAGGAATTCTAATTTCATCATTATTATTCAATTTTGACGAAGCGTAGGGGTTGTGCGTGTGATACTCCTTTTCCCATAAAGTCTCGTCGAATGTCGGTCCTTGTGCTATATCCAGTATTTCCATTTTCAATGAGTTTTAATCCAATATCCTGTAAAAACCGAATGTTTTCAGTAGTTAATCCTTTTGCAGATGATGAGCTAGTTAGGTGTTTACCCGACAACTCTCTCTTCTTGAATGACAATCCCATGGTTTAGGTTGATGCTTTTATGTGAATCCTGATCGTAATACGTTCTTCTCTGAAGTCTATGAGGTTTCCGTCTTGATCTAGTATGTTCAACACGATGTCTGAAACCACACTGGTGTTTAAGGGAAGGTACACCAAGTTTTGTGGCTTTTCCACAATCTTAAAACCTGGGGCGACTGTCGGATAGAATGTGTGCAATATATGACTATTCTCTCCATCTCTGTATGATCCTTGTATAATGTTACATGTAATGTCTATCGTATTAACTTTCAGTATTGTTACAGTTTTATCACCAGAATAGGTCTTTTTAGGTTCTAGTATTGGAGTTGTTTCAGAAAATCCCAATAATCCTCCAATTGAATGTTTTTGAGTAAAATCAATATAATAGGAAGAAGTTATTTCAGCTTTCATGGTATTGTTATTTCCTCTTATTGTTATATATTCTTTTTCTGATTCCTTTTGAACAAGTTCGTTAAGTTCTTCGTTTTTCATTTGTTTTTGTATAAATTCGTTAATATGGTCTATTTCGTAAGATCCTGTCGGTAAACTAATTTCTTTCATTGGTGTTAATTCTCCCAAATTATTTTTGCTTTTGTAATAGTGTAATTTGTTATTGACTCCTTCAGAAATATTTGGAATAGAATTGTATGTTGTTAAATCCAATAATGCAGCTTCCCATAATCTTCCTTTTTGCAATCGTAGAGCTGGAAATAGAATACTGCGCAGAGTTGATGAAGTGCCGGTCAATGAGACCGTATAGGAAGACATCTTAAAGTTGACTAACGCTTCTAGCTAAAAA